GGAATGCCTAGGGTGTGTAAATTTAGAGAATTAGGTCCAAATTCAACTGTCTGATTAGTATGGAGTAAAGGAAGCTTGAACAGAGCTTTATGTGAAACAGTGTACTTCAGTGAAGCACTCTGTAATTGTAGTGCTACAACCAAGATCAAATCCATGCTTAAACTTGAATGTTCATGAGCAGAGCAGTAAATTGAAACACTTAGCTCACGCTGAGTGTTTTTTTTTTTTAATCACAGTTGGGAAAACACACAATTTTGTCATTAGGACTTAAATTCTTCTGAATATATGTTTTCCAAAGAGATTCAACAATGCAGTCAGGCATGGACAATCAAGTATTTCTTTGCCAACAAATTTACAGCTATTAAAATGACCTTTTTGGCTTACAGCATCTAGATAGATTATGCACTCACTAACCCAAGATAAGATGAAATCTGTCAGTATTCACATCCTCAGGAGATTTCACCAAGGGCCTGGAAGAAGAATCTTGACACATTGTCGTTGGGGTGACAGGTCTAGAGAGATTAGTAACTCCTTCATCCGGATCAACAACGACGAAACCTGTGCTAGTAAGCCATAATGCTGCAGCATAAAGTATTAGTGCCCAGGAGTTGTAGTAATGAGGTCTGGCATTTTCGATTGTCTCTGCTGTATAAAACGTACCACCTACAAGAAGAGAATTTACAGTTTCAAAGATGTGATTTATTTTCAACGACAATAATTTTTCACTGTTAGAGAACTGAGATTCATCTTCTTTTTGGAACGATGTTTACCGTATTTTATGACTTTTTAGAAAAAGCGCGCAATATTAAAATTCAGGCTGATGAGGGCACTTTACTTTGATAGAATCCAATACTATTTTCTTTTCCTTTATTCAATCATAAAAATCTAAAACAAATAGAAATACCAAACAAACGCTACCTTCCTATCGGTGAAATCTGTTCTCAAAAGCAGTCATTATTTTTTGATAAGTACACAAGTATGTGCCCTATTCACTGTATAATTTACACCTTACTGTGATCTAGCTTAAGTTAGCTAGGATATTTATGACAGGTGCTTACAAGTGACCTGTGAAAATACAATTGATTTGCCTTCCTACCTTCAGCAGGTAATTGAGATGCATATTCTGAAGGCAAAGTTAAGAGAGCAAAATCCTGAAGTGCAGCAAGCCACAGCTTGCTCAGAGTTCCAAGATCTGCTTGAACTAAGTCTAGGAGTCCACTGCCTGAAGACGCTATATCTCCGTAGCTTTCTTCTGTAGAGTTTGCAATTTTCAACGAGTGATTGTGTGCATCACTTCGATTTTTTTGCTTTTCAACTGCAACGATGTAAACCTGTTTAAATATTTGGAGAAGGACAGAGATTTACAAACATTGACACTTGGAAAGCTACTGTGATCACTAGTAGGACTGCCTGTTTAGCAGGCCTACAGTTTCCTAGAATTTATTCCTACTTCAAGTAGGCATGGCTAAACAAACACTTATTTTCTAAACCTCTGGAATTCCCTCCCCCATCTAATCTTGATGCAAAAATCTGAAGAAAGGAAAATCTACTAAAACTCTTAAACGTAGCTCCAGTTAATTTCCTTGCTCTCAAAAAATGTATGAATTGCTTGTCCAGCTTCAGCTCCCACCCACCACACGCCTCTTTAATTTTAATCACTGGACTGAAGAACCTATTATCAAATAATATACCTATAATCCTGATGATTCCAATATACCCGTAATCACGAAACCATTGTCAAATCATTCCTTAATCTCTTTTCAATGAAATCACATATCACAATTGTAACCAACTTCTCAAATGTCTGTATCACTCTCTGTTAGCAGTAAATAATGAAGAGGACAATCTTGCATCGTTTGCAGACTTTGAGTGTTATCATCAAAAGGTTAACTTCAGTCTGAGAAGGCTAATTTCCCTAGATGCCTCTTTAGTTAATAGAAGAAGAGAGGAGCGGTGGGCGGGGGGGGAAAAAAAAAAAAAAAAAAACAGTAGACCAGACAGCTTCACAATCAGTTCCTTCAGACTGCGATACTGGGAAGAGATGGAGACAATAGACATTCAGGTTTACTTGCGTTTGCTTGAATATCAATATCCTCAGGAAGTATAAAACTTGAGTTCAGTTTAATATGCACATTCAGGACTACAGTCAGAAGTCTGACAGTATTCCTCAGTCTGCATTCAAGAGAGCCAATTCTTAGAATCGGGTTCAAATATTACAAAAGAAGTGTGTCCAAAGACAAGCCTTTACCTAACAAGTGAAAATGACATAAATGTGGATACCATGGACACAAACTGGGTTCTTTTAACAAAGTATTCTTTACACATACTAATTTTTGCGATCTCAGTAATTTTAACTCAGCGTTTCTGTCTTGATTGCTATTCCATTTGCATGAAATCTGACTGAGGCTCACTCTACCAAACAAATGTTGCTTTTAAAAAAAAAAAAAAAAGTGTACAATCCTTCAAATTCTGGAAACGAGAAACGTGTAAGATCTTAAGTCAGGAGGAATCACCTAGGGCTTAAGTGAAATACGTTTAAATTACTGGTCACAAAAGCTTGTCTCCTATTTCCTTTATCATAGCTTCTCATATCTGAAGTCCAGTAGAAAATTATACGGTTTTGCTTTTAAGATATCTAGTGATCCTTATTATAGATTAGAGCATACCACAGACCTTCATTTCTTAAAATTGTGCCACATATCTAATCTGAATTTTGCCTCAGTTTCTGCGTCTCATATCTAGTGCCTCCTATCTAGTCTGAATTTTTGCCTCACTTCCTCAACGATAGGATTAATAGCCATGTATCATCAAAAATATTTTATCCATATCAGCATTTTAAGCATTTATCTTTTCTTAAATAGATGAAATAGATCAATCTACTTAAATGTCTCAATGTCAGCACGTTTATAGAATTTTTATTCCTACTTGCTAGCTTTTTTCTGTTGGCTTTCCTATTTTGCCAATACTCTTTTTCAAATATATAAGCCAGAAGTTATGTTTTTCAGCAAATGTTCCCATTAATGCCATCTACTGACATCACCTGCTTTCTTCTTCGTAACACCTCCGTGCATATATATAGAAATATATTAACCACCTAATGTCCTCATATTTAACTCATATTTAGCTGGTTATCTACTGTCAGCACCAAGTTCATTATCAGTGCTTTGTAAGACATATCTTCTAGACATTACTGATGCTGTTGATTCTTAAATAGCTAACCTTGCATTTACACATATTAAAACAGGCATTCATGTGAGCTGACTCTACTAAGCCAGTTAGTCAACGCAGTACTTAACTGACATCGTTAACTTACAAGAACTCACTTGTAAGAAATTAAACACCGATAAGCAATGACAATACATGATGAACACTTAAAGACAGTATATACTATATACCATAACTATCTATACCTTCCCAATTTAAAATGGACATTGAATCATTAGAACATGTTAAAAAATGTGAAGAGTATAATGCAAACAGTTTAACTAGCAGTGCCATTGTTAAGTTTACAAAGCATCTCATTAATCACATTTATTTTTTAATCTGAGTACAGCTGGAGTTGATGCAGTGTTTGGAGTAATCAAAGCAAAGCAAAGAACCAACAACTATTTAACGGAGCATATTTCCTGAAAGCATTCTGTCTGAAAGGTTCTCACTCACCTAACAGATATCAGGACTATTGTTAGAAAGCATTACACTAACCTCTGCCCAAGCCTTAAGCACAGCCAGTATCTCCATAGTTGATGTGCTTTCATTATATTGTTGACTTTGTGCTTCTTTCCCAGCCTGTGCTTTGACCAAAGAGGATACTAGCAACTGGTGAACCCTTCGGAGGTCATTAAGGTCACTTACTACACCACTTGCTATCCAGGCACTACACACCTAGTGTTGTAAAACAGCATTAGTTAGAAACAACAGCCAAAGACCACTGGATACTCCTTTTTCCAATTATAAAATGATGTAAAACACATTTCATTTCTACTAAAATATAGTTTGTCTCAGATTATAACCAATGTTAAAATGCATAACAGTTCAGTATGCATAAGTGATGAAAGCCAAAATCATTACAATGATGTCATAAATATTTAACAATTGAAGTATCAACTGCTACAAAGTTTCTCAAAAGATTTTAAAGTGCATAAAATCTTAGATGTTACCAAATACAGGTAATACTGGTGACATTATTTTGTGTGCATTAAAAACGTAAGACTTGATGATTTATTATTTCCTTTTTCTTAAGTGAGATATCAAGGAAAAATAAAATTTCAGAGGATCTATTACTCAGGAATACTGACTTTCAACACTTGCCTGACATGCTTTTGCTGTGACATCAGGAGGGGTTTCTGGAGCAAAGGCAGGCCTAAGTGCTGCTCCAACCTAAAGAGAAGTTATACAACATTTAATATATAATGAGCAATTAACTAAATATTTACTTTTCATAAGAAGGCTGTGTTGCAGTTTTCCTTTATAAAGCATAAACCTCAAGTTTCATTTTTGTCAGGCTGTTTTGAGGAGATTAAAGAAAAGGAGACAGTTGTAGTCATACTTTTTTGGTTCTCTTTTGCTTAAACAAAAGACATTGTTTTCTTTGAGAGCCGTCTTCAAAGTCACTTCTACTCTTTCCACATGCGAAAATCGAAACAGAAACCTCTTCCTTCCTGAAGTCTTGATTTGATAAGTAGCCCTCAAAACAAAAACATTGCTCCAAACCATGAAGGACTTACAGGATGCCTAAAATGAGTGACATTTCCTCACTCAGAGAGAATACAGCTTTAACGAAACAAATAACTGAAGCTGGTCAGCTTTGCAAAGCGAGAGAAGGGGAGAAGAAAAATCCCATTCATCCAGTAAAGAACGCATAAACCCCTACTGATCAGGTCTCAAAGACTTCAACCACTCTCATGGCTGGAGGCTATTTTCACTAAAGGCGGATGAAAATTTCCCTTGCCGCTTTAGATCGTATCTGAAAATTCAGCCTTAAGCCTGATGCTCTTTGGGATGAAAATATAAAGTTTAATTGGACTATGTATAGAATGTCTACTGCAATGGCACCTTTCTCTCTCAGACGGTCAGCGTCTACAATAATAAATTATTCAATAGTTAAGGACCAATCTAAATCTTAGCCTCTCTTCCAGCTAGGCCCCCTACTATTGATTCCTGAGTAAGCGCAGGCTTATATCAGCCATGTCTTTTTCAGAGTCTCTTACTGGGGGAAACCAAGTTCCTACTGAAAAATTACCTTGATAATGCTTTACATCATTTTATGGACATTCTAAAAGAGCTCTGTTTTGGGAGAGCTGAAGATCTAATGTCACGACGTGCTTTTTCATATGCTGAACGACCAATGAAATGAAATTTTTGCTACAGGCACACTGGAGATAAATACGTTTTTATACTTATATTGAGCCTCCGCATAATAGAAGTAAGGGAAGCCAAAATAACCATCTTGAGTTCATGTAGATCAGTGAAAAGGACTTGTTTTTACTGACAGGTGCAGTTTGTTAAGATCGCCTCAAGGCTCAGACTTCATTTAAGGAACTCCTGAACAAGATTTATGGAAGAAACCCCTATTTATATCTGGAAAAGGCATTCTCCTATATTCACCTATTTCTATTTACTGTTACAGAAAGAATTTTCACAAGAAAAGGACTGGATATACAATTGTGTCACATCTCTTCAACTTCTACAAAATAGTTGATAGGAAGATATGAATATCGCATTAGACAAAACCCTTTAAGGGTAATGAAGGTTAGAAGGAGAAGGGGGCGTTAGTTAATTATCAGATCCATTTGTGAGCTGTTTGAAGGTATGGTACAGCAAGGAGATATAGTGTATTTTTTTGCTTGGAAGCTCCGAACTAGCTCAAGACAACTCTTCTCCCACAAAGACATGCCAGGAGAATAGAATTCTAATGCCAAAAACGTTAAAGCAAGATCAAAACTACAGAATAGTTGGGGTTGGGAGAGACCTCTGGAGATCATCTGGTCCAATCCACCTGCTCAAGCAGGGTCACCTAAAGCAGGTTGCTCGGAGCCATGTCCAGCCAGGTTCTGAAATCTTCAAGGATGGAAACTCCACAATATCTCTGGCCAGCCTGTTCCAGTGTTCAAATGCCCTCACAGGAAAGTCGTTTCTTATGCTCAAGTGGATTTCCTGCATTTCAGTTTGTGCCCATTGCCTTGGTTGTCTTTGGTGTCAATATCTCTCTCCATTTCTATGAGAGACACTGATGTGACTTATGCTAGAAACTGAGGAATGGGAGCGAGACGAGCCTTAACACAGCTGCCTGTCACGTTTCAGTCTGGAATGCAAAATGATCAAGACAACTTTTCTGTAAGTCTCAATTCCTTTTTCTGCCCTGAAGTAAACCTTGTGACTAGAATCCATGCTTTTACATTCTCTAGCTTACTTATCAGTCAAGATATCCTAGTATGATAACGTGGCGTGTAAAAGCTCCTTATTACCAAGCAGAGTTTGAAGCGTTTGTTGTTCCTAACTGCTCTTCTCATACTCCCATACTTTGAAATCAATGCTTTCTAAAAAGAATAATGATGTTCAGTTTTCTCTTTGCTGTATTCAAATAAGGAAGAGGGAAAAAAATGCTCAGCCTTGAAAAACTGTGGCTAAAACTCACTGACCCAAAAGATGCCTTCTAAGTAAGTTAAGTCTGAAAGTAATCAGTAACAGTTTCAGTAACAAACTAGCTGAAACGCAACAACAGCACTACCTACTGCAAAAAGCAAATTTCTTTTAGTGATTAACTGTCACTCTAAATTTTTTTTAACTTATTAGCAGTAGTGCTTACATTGGCTTGATATTGCTCTAGAATTACATGACCTGGAAACTCAGGTTCTGGAACAGCTGCAAACTTCCGAACAACAATTAGCAATGTTTGAAGCCCAGAAAGACGGAGCTGATCACTGTGATCTGTGCCAGCCATAAAAGCCATACGTATCAAGTCAGCTAAATGCAATACCAAAAAGTCATCTGAAGAGAAAACAGAAATAAAAAAATTTTGTTAAATTTGGAAATAGACATGATAATATATTTTATACTGTTGCTCCCAATACTTTCAAAACGTGTATTTTACATTTTACCACATATCAAAAATTTCCTGAAGGCAGTTTACGCATAAAATGACCTTACATGCACATTCTATATCAGCTGATATAGGCATCTTTCCCTTTGAATGTAAACACTTATTCAGAAAAAAAACCATAAATACCATTACGTTGAGGTAGATCTCCTTAACAAAAAAACCCCAAAAAACAAAAATCAAAAACAAAAAACCAAAAAACCAAAAAAAAGAACTTTGAGGAAAAAAAAAACCTCCAGATAAACATAGAGAGGTACTGAAAAGTGGCATTGTGTTTCTAGTGGTAATTATGCAAATTATGGAGAGGAAAAAGAACAAAGTTTTTTGTCATACTTCCAGATACTAAACTGTGTTGTTGTAGGCAGGTGCCAGCAATCACTTCTGATTGCCAATGCTTATGCAAAAACAATGGCTCCCTGTGCATATGCCATGGTATTACGACCAGAAAAATGAATGCAAATGCTGTAGTGACAAGCCAGTATTTTGCCTAATTAAAATTCCTCTACACCTCATTCAATACAAGCTTCTAATCAGATTGTTTCACTGGCTGCAAATAAATGAATTTATGATGAAATTTCATTAAGATGCAAACTGCCAACATTTATTTTAAGCATACTTTGCATTCTGTGAAATTCTTTCAGTGCCTAACACATACCTCTTGAATCACGTTGTTTTCTTTCCTGAGCCAAAGTTATGTCAAAATGTGCACTGTCTGCATTTTCACACTGGCTGATAATTTTACAAACACACTCTGCAGCAAAAACCCTTGTAGACCAACGTGGATTACTGAAAGGGTGGGACCTTTCATCACTTGCAGAGGTTAATACAGATGCATCATCTGCTTTAGCAGTCTCCTCTTCTTGAGTAGTGTCTACTGAAGCTACTGTATTGAACTCTATAGGACATGGGGAAATATGAGAAAACATAATATTCTTTTATATACTGTGACTGAAAACTACAGAAGGACTTGTAAGAAAGAGTCTTTGAAGTGCTCTCTAGCCTCCAACTCACTATAACTCCCTTCAGCTTTGGCGTCTTAAAATCATTGCTAGAATTACAAATAAAAATGTAGCAAAAGTCTCTGTATTTCTTAGATACTACTTGCTGGAAAACAACATCAATATCATGAACATAAATGGAGAAGAAAGAAAGCAATGCAAGAAAAGACAACCTGTGTATATGTGTGACACAACAGAAGCAATCAGCTTTTCAAATCACTTTCCTCTTGTATGACAAATTAAAAGTCTTCACAATATTCACGACAGTAACTAATTTCACCTGCTCAGGAGATTCATTATGATAGAACAGGTCTGCGTCATTCCTATCACTAATAGCAGAGAGGGTCTGGGTGGTACTCGCACAGGACAATACAGAACGTATTCTGTATTTCCATTTCTAATATGGAAATAAGTTAACATCAGGTCTATTAATCAACTAGAATATGAACAGTTAAGACATATTAAGATGTTTACAAAAAACTTCTCAATAAGGAAAAGGCAATCAAAAGGGAAAATGTCATATTCCTTTTGACAGAAGTAAGTTAAAGGGTTCAATGTTTCCATATGAAGGAGTGTGATATACTTATAAATGTCTAACATTCAAGACACAAGATTACTTCACTGACATACTATACTGTTGCAGGCCTTATTTTCACTGTGTTCTGAACTAGAGCTTATTGGCACTTACCGGCTGATGCAGCAAGAACATCTTTACACAGCTTCAGCCAAAAAGAGAGCTTTTCAACTGCCATTGAAGTAAGCATATGACTCAGAGTCTCTCTGATATCTTGGCACAATCTTTGATCCAATTCTTTGTCCAGCAAGCCCAGCAATGCCCCCTCCAGGCCTATTTCTCTTATGTTAACATCTGCCAAGAACAAAGCCTGTGAGCCGAGCTGTACGCAACAAACCTGCAGTAACGACTACAGAAGCCCCACTAAGGATTGCATACGTAATATCTTGTAAACAACAAGTATCTAGCCACAAGTATCTAGCCCTGAAATACTTTTGAACCAATAAAATTAATTGCTTTAATGACATGTCTAAAGCATCTGGGTACAAAATAAGCTTTGCACTTTTAAAGAGACACATTACCAACAGGAAGGAAGTTTCGCGGGGAAAAAAAAGAATCCTACTCTGAATTTCACAGCACTACCATTGCCAAAGCATCTGAGCCCCTGAAAGAAGGCTATCTTCGTCCATCTGACTCCTCACACTGACTCATAAGGTAATTCTAAAACAATGTTTTAACTTGAGAGCGAAGTCAAAATGATTCTCCAACATAGCTCAGAAATAGAGATGCAGAAATAATCTGTTAAATGAAGATGACCAGTTTTTATTTGCCAAATATTACCAATTTTAAAAAAATACTATTTTTACAGAATGGCTATAATCCATCTTTTCTGAAATTTTCTGAATGAGCTTGAACTGAAATTTGAAGTGAAATCATTTGTTACCACCACCCCCTCACAAGAGGGCACATAAGGATGAACTTAGTAATTATTCTCATGCCTCATAGCCAAAAACAAGCAAACAAAAAAACCCCACAACTTCAGGAAGTTAAAAATGCTAGGGAGTCCACCTCAGGACCTCTTCCTTTAACTGAGTCTGCAAAGAGGTCAACAGAAACTTTCTTTAGCAAGTTTTGTATGTCTTCCCTCAAATGACACATTTTTAAATTAAGATGAGATTTATGTGGGAAAACAAAATTAATTACGAATATGTAATGTAAAACCCAGGTCTATGAAGCAGTTACTGTAACAGCTAGTGGCTAAATAGACTTAGGTTACTCTAGAACTGCATCTACCTTTTTTGATTTAGTGACTCTTAGCATCTTCAGTACAGTGAAACAATAGCATCTTCATTTTATTGCTAAATAAAATTTGGATGCTTCCAAATTTAGCATCATATAGAAAACTGAAATAGAAAATATCTTTTTGAGCTAAGGACTCCAAAAAGAACAAGGCAAAGTTATTTTTATACCCATAGCAGAGCATGTTTAAAAATCACTATTAGTGCGCCAAACTTCTGGATCTCAAGATTTCCATATGTTACCTGGAGTAAAATCTTCTCGGCTCTCTTTAACTAAAGCAATAGCATATTCCGATACCTCAGCAGCTTCTCTTTGCACAAGTTGACGCAAACAAGCTACCACTGCACGTCTCAGTAACAAGTAAGAGCTACAGAGATTCACCTGAAACATTCAAACATAAAGAATAAGATGTCTGACAAACCTTTCTAGGAGTAACTTGGTACAGCTGGCTTTTTCTGACCAATTAGTTATTAAACAACCTGTGAAGTCAGCAAGCACGTAACTGATGCTCTTTTTGCTCTTTTTTTTTTTTTTTTTTTTAATTCTTTTAAGCCCCACATGAAAGGTTTTGCATCATCAATTTTATGGTATGAGTACTTCTAACATTTTCTCAAAGGTAAATTACAGGACTGGTCCAAGGCCAGATCCAACTGCCACTGATGTCAGTAGAAAGACCCCCATTACCTCCAACGACAGCTGAATCATGGTCTCAGTGAACAACCATTAAATCTATTCTTTGACTATAGGATATATATATAAAGGTTTTCAAAGCTCAGTGCATGACAATATACATATATATATATATAAAATCATCATATGCAAGTAGGGAAATGCTGATGTAACCAAGGGTGAGACACACAATCAGGCTTTAATAATTCTGAACTCCATGCATGAAAGGAAGCTTATAAGAAAAGGCAAAGAGAACACTTCTGTAATTACTTCCAAAAAGTACTATACAGACAGATTACACTACATTACGTTTTAGAGAATGTAAGAGAGAGTTACTGATAATATGTTACACTAAGACAAGTCAGCTCTCCTGAGCAGCTTCTAGCAAAAGTTTATAGCATCATCAATTTTAACATCATGTCACATTAAATCTGTTTTTTATATTGAAAAATACATGATAATGCTTACTTATTACAGGAAGAAAAATACTTAAAAATATCATAGCCTCAAGGCTTTTCATTACGGTGGAGGTTTTTGATTTTTGTTGTTCTTGTTTTTGGCTTGCTTTTAATTTTAAGTACCTTCTGAAGGGGATCCACAGATACAATGAATCAGCTGTGCAGCCAAGAAGAATAACTGCACCCATATTTATGGAGTTTAATTTAAAGTTAGGTTATCATCAGTATTGGAGTAAATAACCAAAATAAAGATGTATCTAACTGAAAAAAGTTATCCTTACAACTAATTGTGTACCCTGAGCTGTCACCATCACAAACTAAGATAGAGCTGACTGTCTGCTGCAGGAAGAACTTGCAGTGAGGTCATGCTTCTCATTTGTCAGTGATAGGTCAACATGTGTTAGTCAACATGTTAAGGGCGTAAAGAATAAGTGATATAGAATTTCAGCTTTGTTACATTAACAGAACTAAGTTGTGTCTTCTGAATTTTTAATCTGCAAGACTTAGAATTATACATTTCATATACACAAAAATATACTCTCTGCAAAATAGTTAAAAAAAAAAAAAAAAACCTGACTCAATTCGTATGTCTGCAAGGTACTTTAATTGAAACTTTCAAAACAGCAAATGTGGCTTTTAATGTAACATCTATTCAAGCAGGCTACACATTTTACTGCAAGTTGGACGTGCATAAATTGCATGCTCATTTTTAATAGGGGAAAACCAGAGGACCTAAATCAGGCTACTGGACAATGCAAGACATACATTTTGCACCTCTCTCATTCTCCCACATTTTAAGTAGGGGACAGGACCAAGTAACAAACGCAAAATACAAGCATCACATACAAACCGAAACGAAAAAATAGTTCCCTTTCTACACTGAACATGTTAAAATCAAAATGATGGCTAATTAAGCACATAAATGAAGTGTATGCATGCCATCTGCAGAAAGTTAGGAAGGGTCTGGTTAGAATGAGAATCAAACAAATGTCACTTGACATGCTTAAAAGAATTTACATTTAAAATGGTGAAAAGGAAGATAAAAAGATGAAATAAAAAACAACACTGCAAACTGCTAAAGTTTTTAGGATTAACAAGGCACGGGGACCTACCAACACAGAATTATCCAACAAGATCTCCTGCACAAAAACAAATGACAAACCAGTCATGACAAAACCAAAATATAAATACCACAGTGATACCAACCACACAAGGAGACCATTACATGTAAATTCAGAGTCTATAAAATTCAGAATCTTATCTCAAACAAATCAAAAACCTAATTTGCTTAGTTCAATTATTTTTCATTTAATGTCAAACATCCTTAAATTGCAGGCCAGCTGTCCCTAAAATTAGTACTTAAAATAAACAGTACCAACAAGACAACAGCTTAGTATAGCTATTGACAATGTATAGAGTACTGTGTTTCAAAAATGTCTTCAATGTCTTGCAGCTGAAAACTGGAGTATTCGCTACGTCTTAAGCTTACGCAGATAAACTCTTTAGAAGTCTGCATTCACGAAAGTTAGCTTTAGAGTTAATGTTAGACATAACTGAAAGCATACGATTTCTATTCCTCTGGAGCCAAGAATTTAATTGATAGATAGGTTAAATATTACTCTGTTAGATGCAAAACCCTGTGAAAAAAGACCCAACTGACAAAAAAGGAATACTGTAAGAAGCTGAAGAAGGGAAGCTAGATAATGACAGGCACATGTACACATTTAAAAAAAAAAAAAAGTCACAAAGTGAACAGTCTAAACATTTTGGGGACCTGAGCCAAATCACGCTCCAGGTAGTTGGAAGACAGGAGACAGGTGGAGGTGACACACAGCTGCCTGCAGCAATTGTGTTGGCACACCTCATTCAGATTTATGAAAAGAGAGAAAGTCTATTTTAGCATTTTAAAAGTAAGTCTGAAGCTGTGGAAATTTTCCAGAAACCTTTGGGAGAAATGGTGGAGAGAGGAGTTGCTTCATTCTTACTCAAAAAAAAAAACAAAAAAAAAACCTCTGTACATTTATATTGAAGATTTTCTCTCACTCGTGTTTCTATAGAGAAGAAAAGACCATTTTTCTGGCCAAAGATTCTTTGCTTTTCCTGTTTTCCTGCCTTAAACAAAGAATGTAGTGGTGAATATTAACAGTATTTAGTACCTAGCTTTCATAGTGTACTTCCTCCTAAGACTTCAAGACAGTCTTGTGCAAAGGAGGAAAGTCACACTTTGTATTCCACATGCAGAAATTCAAACCCATGGAGAAACTCATGAAATTTAAACCCCCCTTCTCCATGGAGAATGACTTGCTGAGGGTCACCCAGCAGGCCAACGGCAGAGTCAAGGGCAGATTTCAGATCCTTGGTCCAGCTCAATGATAAATTCTGCTTCTCCAACAATATGATGATTTAGCAGGTAAAAACTGTACAGATGGACACAGAGTTTTTCAAATACAGAAGTCTGCTTGTGCCATGATCTTCTTACAGACCTGCAAAGCATACACTGAAAACTCTTTCATTTGTGACACTCCCGAGTGACATGTTGATGTTTACTGAACTGTAAGCATCTACAACATTGTCCTTAGTTCTGTAACAAGCTCTTCAGAATTAGAAGAGTTCATCCACGTAAGGCTGCTGACTTTGACAGAGTCTTCCCCTGTAAAGCTCATTGTAGTTTTGGGGTAGAAGTAAACACACAAACACCCAAACCATGAACAATGTTTCTTTTTAATTTAGTAATTTAATCATTATTATAATAATAAAGTACATAAAGTACTTTATGAAACACTTTGACACAACTGGTAAAAGTAATAAAAATCACTAATATCATATAGAAAAAAGATCTTGTCACAACATGCTATTTATTATTAACAGATCATACTGTACATAGAAGCGGAATGTAAACTCCATGGACTTATAGTGATCCAAATGCTAATCCACTGACTGAGTAAGAGGGTGATTCATATGATCTACGATGATTGCATCAATGTATGAAAAGCTTTTTTTTACCCAGAGAGGAGAAAATCATGGCTGGAACACAGCAAAAGAAAAAACGCTTCAGATGAGTTCCAATTCTTCTGCAACTAATACAGGCATGCCTAACATAACGTGGGGCTCAACGAGCGTCTCTGTTGATTTTTCCTGGCTCTCTCAATCATTTTTATAGTAAAACTGAATTAAGATAAATGGAAGGAATCTGAACTCTATAAAAATCAGTATGTGGCTACTATTGACATCCAAACGCTACCCAGGGAAATATGTGCATAAGAATTGCCTTAGGACAGACGACAGAGACATAAAAGCCCTAAGCTTTATTGTCTGTCTTTCCCATGGGGAAAATGGACAGTCATATTTTAAAAAAATCAAAAACAAAAACTAGCCACTGAAAAGACACAAAGTCTAATAACTATCGGATATTTATTTTTGTTTTCTTGATAGAACTAGGTGTTGAAGAACAGAAGCTAGTCCAAGATAGATACTTTGAAAACAAATCCTATTTTTCAAGGGCCTACCTTCAGGCTATTATTTATGGCTGTGTCAGAAATTTTTATACTGACTACCAAGAAGTCAGTACATTGAAGCATTAGTGATACAGAAATTACAAAATTAGGAATTCAGAGCTTTTTCCATCATTTAAAAAAAAAACCACACCCACAACCACACCACTCTTAGTTATTAGTATAATTTTTTTTTTTTAATCAGTCCTTCACCTAAGACATAAAAGCAGCAGAGGAAAAAAACGCCAGCATGAAATAGCTGGTAGAAATCCAGCACGAAGTTGTGATAGACAGTACATTCCGCCAGACACTTGGCCTGAATAAGAACAGCAGAATGCATCTTCAAGCAGTTCAGAAGGCCAAGAGCTTTACAGAATATGTTCTTGTAACGGAGAATCAGAAACAGAGGGAAAAAAAAAAAGGAAAACACTGGAAAAGTAGAGAATACTTGCCTATAAAAGGATGTGAAACATGTCACCCCTACATTACGATCAGTTACACTGGTTTAAGAAATGTCTGCATTTTTTTAAACGTTTCTACACAAAATATTTTAAAATACAAAGGTATAGATCAGTAAACATATACTCACACATAAACAGCTTACAAGGCTAGACAAGTTGACGTGTCGAGGAGCAAACATGTGAAGCTGCTGAAGGCAAGAGATGGCTTGAGCCTGAACAAGGCAGTCAGGATTATCTTGCATCACTGCGCAGCCCAGGAGACAAGAAGTTCTTAAGGCTGAAACTGTTGTACTGCTGCCTATATTCAGAAGAAAAAAAAAAATTTTTTTTTTAAACATAACTTTTCTTTCAAAAGAGGATAACCTGTCTTTTTCTCCAAGTCAGCCGCATCTCACCCACTGCCAATGTCTGCATTATACTCTGATACCAATAAATAAGTGTCACACTGCCCTGTGGAAATTTCAGTATTCAGGTATCTATTCAAGTTTAATTTAGATGCAAAATTTTAGGTGGCTGCATTTTAATGGCTGCTTCATTAGTAAAACATATAGTGATTCCTCACTCTTGAAAAATAAGTACCTTTTGTTTTCAGGCTAAACATCAGAACTGTCAGCCCAAGTCAAGGCTTGAAGAACCAGTTTAAATAAAGGAAAAGATGTCAAAAAGAAATACTTTTTTGGAAAACTAGCAGTCATGTCATCTTGACTACGTGAAATCATAACCTATGAAATATTGACTTATGATGAGGAAAAAACCTAACACACATTTATTTATAAAATTTCAATTATACATTCAAACAATGTTTAGCAATTCTGTTTCTAAATCAAACAAAAGTGACTTTACTGTATATTGCGTACCTTGCAACTCAGGACCCAGGGTGGTAATAAGTGCATTTAAACAGCGACCAAGGCTTTGGTGAACTTCAACATAAGCAGGAGGTACAGTCAACAACAACATGAGAACAAGGGATAAGGTAGGTTCCACATGCACGTGAAACAAGGGACCTGCTAAATCTACTATCAGTGACAGAGAGTGTAGTGCCCACGCCTGTAAAATAAGAGATGCAGTCATGTAGTGTCTGCAAGAAATAGAATATACATAAAATCAATTTTTTAATTTGATAGCTCAGATGAAACTCAGTACAAAAGTGTAACTAAGAGCCGGAGTTTCCAAAGGGACATATGGAGAGGCTATAAACAGAACCTTAAAGAACACGATGCTTGATGAGCCATTTTGATAAATATTTTAAGAGGAACTCGATGTTCAGCAATGAAAGAACTATTCTAAATTTGCTACTGTTAATTTCTAGGAAAACGAATAAACTAATTTAATAGTGTAGTATTATTCCTCAAATGCTTTTCTAAAATTTCTTATAGTTCCATGTGCAAACACAATAGAATAGCAAAAATATAATCAGAGTGGCTGAAACAACCTTTTATTTTAGTTTAGTTTTTGTATTTTATTTTGCACCATTATCCATATTTTTTTCATGTAAACATACAGTACTTCTCTGTGCAAAGATATAGTAAGTGAAGCTTAAAAAAAAATTCTTTAATTACGATTTAGACAATTACATGAAATATACTCAATGTCTGTTAAAGCTATTCTTATAGGTAACAGTTGTAGCCATGGAAAAATTCATTTGAATTAACCTTCAAAACAGCTTGCCTTATTCAAAGTAGTATACTGACCAAGTTCCAAAGCATTCAGACTACAACCCCCTGTTATTTATTGTATACCCCATCAAGGAAAAATGCTGTGAAGCAGACATCCTAGCAGAGACAAATACTAACAAGAAAAGAGAAATGAACATCTAGTCAAGCTCAAAAGATAGGTGAACGTGAAATTAAACAATTCCTAAAACATCAGAAACTTCATTTTTCAAGCCAGCATATCTCAGCCTCTTCAGCCTCATTTATCATTAATTAACAGTCTTTCATAGCTCATCATAGCTCATGCTTGGAAGGCAGATCTTGAGCTGATGCTACAGTTTCCATCTCTCTTGCTGTTCCAGCCATCAGCTGGGAGGTATGGCTAACAGGCTGTGAAGCGTAATTTTTAGAGGAAAGACAAACTTTTACTCCAGAATATAGAGTTTACAGTTAATTTGCAATATGACACTTTGAGATAAGTAACAAGTACCTGCACATCAGGAGAAGTACTGTCCTGAGATAAGGTATATAGGATTCCAATACATGCATTCAGGTGCTGAGTAGAACCTATTCCTCCTAGGTACCTGTACAGACATCCCAGAGCCAAAGAATGACCTGTTCTTGATACCACATCCCTAGCAGATTTTAGCCTATTAATTATAAGGGGAAAAAAAAGCTGTTAGTGTAATCAACAGTGCTGACACTATGTAATAAGCATATTTACTAATGGAATTTCTGATATATAATCAGCAAAATATTTTATTAGACATTGTTAAATTGCCAAAAACCTACGTTCATTCATCACCTCTTATCTGAAAGAAGCACCAAAAATATTTTATGTATCTTTAAATGAAATAGCTAGAACAGCAGCCAATGTAATTTACTCAAATGTCTACGTGCTTACTTAAATAGTCTTCTTAAAAACAGAAGCAAAACCAAGAACTACATGCAGAAGTCTGGCAGTGCTTTTCATACTCATTTTTAAGTGACATCAAATTCATCAAGGAAATCATCTTTTATGACTTCTCTTTAAACTGTTATCATCCTGGTGACCAGGTAGATAACCCAAGCATTTTTATAAACTCAACCAGTAACTTACTATACCTTTTTTGAACTTACTTGTCAAAACTAACTTGTGCTAATCCAGCAGTGAAGGCACTGTCAGAAACCACCTGTGCCAACCTGGCCAAACACTCTGCAGCAGCACATCTTAGGAGCGGATTATTGCTTTCCAGGGCACCCATTACTAATGTCAGAGCAGACCTCCTAACTTCTTCTGGACCTAAAGTTCCCTTGCAGCTAGCCAAGTGCTAAAAACAGATATTAAATATATTAAACAGCAAGACAGTACAGTAGTCAGAACATTTTTTTCTTTCAGCCATACAAATTTATGAGACCTACAGAAAGAATGTGATTTTCTTCCCCTCTTACCTGAGGGATTCCTCTGTTTTTATTCACTGTATTGAGATTTGGAAGTATAACTCCAGATGAGTATACATTATATCACAACATTGTAATACCAGCATTATGGTTTAAAAAAAAAAAAAAAAAAAAAGATAGATTGCAGTAGTACACAATAAACCAACACGCTAGCAGGACATTCAGGAAATAATACCAAGGAGACAACAAATGAAAACAGAACACCACCACAAACAAAAATTCTAGTCAAAAAAAAGAGCATGAGCAAAACCTATAGCAGTTATCCGGATTGCAGATTAAATATGCCACAGATATACATACAGCTGGTTCTGTATAGAAGCACCTAGGGCCTCTTATGATTATTACTCAGGTGTGATGCCATGCAAATATGCCTGCAATCCCTTCAAGCCTATCTCAAGTCTAGGCACACTGTAGGCATTATTACAAGGAACAGAGCTAATTAGCTTCAGAGATAAAGCCATCCCTGTTCAGGCATCCTAAAACTATACTCAGACACAGTAGTGCTGGAACAGTAGGGTTTATTAGCCTCAGGTCTGGAATGTCTCTAGGTCCCTGCAGAGGTAGTCAGGCATGTCTGGCACTGCAGTTCTCACTGCTCTATCAGTTCAGGCACACTGCATGCATACATTGCTTACATCTGGATTCAGCGCTGCTATCAAGCTAGTGACTCTTTATGGAACCCAGTGCACTTGGGGGAGCAGTGCGGGGTGGCGTGTGAGGAGTTCCATGGGCAAAACCAGCCTAAGCATCCAAGCTAGTCACCGGGCATGAGCCTACTGATACAGCCTGACTCTAAATGAAGCCAGTAAGATATTGCACATACTTCCCAATATACTTAGTAGTATTTACTAAGATCTGAGATCTTCCACTCTCCTAAATATCACAGGCTTTTGCTTTTCCAGATCACGGAGAGCTGAGCGTACATCTCTGTACTCTACAGTTTGTCCAAATCCCATAATTTTATTTGCCACTCATAAGCTTATTACCACTATGCTAATGATAGCCACTTCAGGGCTACAATAGTCAATTTTATCAGCAATCTTCCAGCAGAAAATACTAAATGATACTTACAGACAGATAAAGGAAGATGAAAAGTAAAAAACACCTCAGTATGTAGAACCTAAAAAGCAGTGCCTTACAACATAAAAAAGTCACTCCAATGCAGTGCATTAACTACAAAATATTATAACGTGATAAAGAGCAATTAAATTTCACTTGGTTCTCCCCTCTCTCTCCTTTAAATTTTTTTTTGGTAATGGAAAATGTGTTATACTCTAGCAGCTGGGCATTACCGGTTCCATCAAAGCCTGGGCATTAAGGCAACTATATGGAATATTTTGTTCTGCTTAATTGCATTTCAACCTTTGTTTGATCACAAGGGCCCCCCATTTCAGAGCCAGACAATAGGAAACGCTATGTATAGAGACTTAAGTGAAATGCAGATCATCTGGCCTTGAGTGCCATTGACAAATCAAGTGTATGCATCAAGAACAAAATAGTAACTAGAATCTCAATTTTCAAGTGTCTCCAAGAGCCTCTTGAAGATCAATCATAGTGAGGCACTGAAAAGAATATTTTCCTCCTGCAAAATAAAGCCAAAACTGGATTAGGGGAGGAGGAAAAAAAAAAAAAGAAAGAAAAGGAAAAAGGTCTTTGCTAATATGAAAACATTTTATCTTAGTTTGAAGAAAGTCAAAGAAGGGAAGAATGAAAACTACACATGAACAGAGGAAAAAAGGGAATAGAGCTTCAGGAAAAAGCATAAAATGGCACATAATTATGAGACTACTTTTTTTTAAAATCACTCATTGCTTTTATTTCTGCAGTAAGAAATATGAAAGATAGTAATACAGACAGAAATTACACAAACAGAAATTTTCCATCTCTGCTCTTTGGATTACAATAGTGTGGATTCTAGTATATTATAGTGTACTAGAAAGTGTTTTCCTCACTCTTTACCATTTAAAACAATCGAAAAATTTAACTCTTGAGCACTTAAGAAAAGTGTAACATCACAAATAAATATTAGCACAGAAGACAATAGGACTGATCCTCACCTTGACTGGTCAACCATAAGAAGAACTTCTGCACGTAGACGTATAATTGAATGAACAAATGCCATGTTTTAATAACAGAATCAACATTTTGGGGCAGAGAGAGGGGCAGAGAGAGGGGCAGGAGACTTACCTTTAAGGAAGTAGAAAAGGCTGACACAACATTTAGTTGTACTATTTGTTGCCGTGATCCTTTTGTTTGTTTTATGGAATCCAACAACTGTTCTAATACCTGAAGCCTTAAATAAAAAACAGAACAAAACAAAATGAAAAAGGGAGGAAAACTAATCAAGCTTCTTTATCGTATTTTAAAACACATAACAAAGTCTGTATATTACAGAAACAGAGGTGGAATCAATATATTACCCTAAGTTTCAAGCATCTTCCTTCATTTGGTCTCTCTGTCTAACCCTGTGTCTTTTATGTATTCCACATTAAAATAGGTAATTACTATATGAACTTGGATTTTTTGCCTTTATTTCCTTAGAACATATGCATTCACAGATATTTGCTCCTTTTTAAGTAACATCAAACATGTTATTAAAGGAATTGTATCTAGGAATAACGGGAATGATGCATTTTGGCTTATGGGCGAGAAAGGAGGAGGGAAACAGGGAGGGGAAAAAAAAAAGGATAAGCAGTTATCTGCAGCAATTGGTTGAGGTCTTGAGAAAGCAGTGAAGAAAAAAAAAAATCCAGCAACTTGATGACAGTAGAGGCAGAAAGACCAGAAAGAAAAAAAGCAAAAATGAATAGTCAGTGACGAGAGAATAAGAAAGGAAATGGAAGACAGAAGAAAACATAAAGCATGCAGCAATTATATCGGCAGGCATGCCTGTAATACATGCATACAAGCAGCTGCCTTGCCATTACACTAAACAAAACTCAATACAATGACACTGTAACATTCTAAGTACTCAAGATACCAAGATTCAGGACTCACACGCTCAGCAGCCATCCACCGCAGGAAATTACAAAAGCATCACCACCTATAATGGTGACGATCTGAGGATTAACTGTAAGCGGCTTTGAAAATATAAAGCTGTATATAATTTCAAAATAATTGATTTGCCATAATTCTACATTTGAGAAAATGCAGAATTACTAATAGTATGCAAAAAATCTTGATGGATTTCTTGCCTCAACAGTATGCTTATAAACATGACACAAATCAAAATGCTACATGTATGGCAGGAAAGACAGACACACGAAAAAAAGCAACAGAATTCTGTGATGCCTTTAAGCACTCTGTACATTGATAAAATTGTGTTAAGACCCACAATCTTGTTTCTTTCCATCAATTTTTTTGGCAGAATGAGGCAAGACAAAGGTGTAATTTTACTGCAACTTCCTACCTTTTGTCACCTTTGGTTCTAAGGCATTTAGTAATTAGGTATTAAGTGCTTTAATAATTATGTAATATCTCTTAAAGTAACGTTTAGATTGATCTAGATAGGGGGGAAAAAACAAACATTTTTCTTGGTCAATAAAACGTACTATAATGACTGTAACTTTTTACGGAATGTGCCTTTTCACTGTCACTGGCTTTAAATAGAAAGCTTGATAATTTGGTCGTCTGAATTATATTATTCATATTGTTTATAGAATCGACCTTTGCAAGTCAAGATTTTTTTTCCAGAATTGTTTTATTCTTTGCTCAGTTTCAAACACACCGATCCTCTTTCAGCAATTTCAAATATATTGATTGTCTTTTAACATCTCCAAATTCCCCAACAGTTAAAGTTACTACTTTACCTTTGAGATTCTGCTACATGGGAAAACATAACTCCAAAGAGACGTGTTGCTGCACTGATAACAGACAACATGGGAGGTAGAGGTTTAGGCACCGAATCACCTTTTGCAACTTTCTCATAAAGTGAGTAAGGGTCATACTCCAGGCTGCCTCCAGCTATACTATTACCTAAGAGGAGCTGTAAGAGGGATAAAAACGATAGTCACATTTTTGACCAAGTCTAAACCAACACTGACCCAAATAACAAGAATTATATGAAAATATAGTATCACCATCCTACTAGATCAGGAAGTACCTGCTCTTCAATAAATCGGTGGTCAGTCTCCTGCAGTAAGGGACCAAGTAAAAGGAGGTCATTCTCATGACAAAGAGGTGGAAGCAAGAACGTAGAGGCATCGATCTGGCTATCTGGAACAGTTAAGTCAGCTACTAGCTCTTTTAGAACAGCAGAGAAGCTTCCTTTAAATTAAAGGGAAAAAATATTCAATTTTCAGTTAATTACTTGCCATGTGCAGCTTCATTGCTTGAACAAGACATTTATACTAAAATTGCAACATCCGTCTAACATTTTTCTAAGGTCCTCAAACAGTTAACTGGAGAATACTCTCTTCTTGCAGGGAGACAATGAAACACCACGTAAGAAAAGCAAACTAAGGATATACAGCAATCAAGAAGCTTAAAATCCGTGGCCTTTACCTTTACAGAAGGCATAATGCCATACAACTGTTAATGCAGTTACTTAGTGATAGTTAAAATTTAAACAGAGGAAGAAGGACAAGTACAAGACGAAACATATTTCAACTACAAATTTTCTGAAAATTAATGCTGCAGAATGTATGACATTACCACACAGGAATACTTGCTTTTGGCAAGTAGATGTAATCTAAAACATTCCCAGGTTTGATAACTATCCAAAAGCTGTACAATATACTCTCCAGTCTCAGAAGTTTGCACTCAGCAAATAAATATGAGGAATTTACTGTAGGTTACACGATAATAATTAGCACTGGTTCTTCCAACTTTCATGTATTTTTCTACATAAAATTTCAGACAAAGTTAAACATCATTATGCATAAACAATACCACTAGGCATTCAGAGTCAGACTGTTTTGTTTTAGGTTATTAAAACAATCCTGGCAGTGATCTTTAAAGTGGAGACCATTTTCTAGTGCTGAACTGTAAGTGCTGAGAAAGACCTGGCTTTATTCAGTAAGTCATTCTGCGGAAAAACACTGCAGAACTGACCTTAAAGATATCATAACATACATACCCTTTACACAAAAATTACATATACATTTTCCTCTAGGGCATTAAAATTGCAAAGTCAAATCCTGAAGACTTAGGAAATGCCAATATTAAGTGGGTCTTAGATCCATGTATCTGGTTCTTTGCATTCAGTTTCTTGTTACATCATCACACCATTATCCATTAGCACTAAAGTTTCCTATACACTTTCAACTCTCAGAGGTTCCAAAAAGTGGGACGACACAGTTGCCACTGCAGGTCACGAGCACAAGTACAGTCATTTGTATAGGTGTGAGTGAGTTAAGTGGTAGCAGCAGTAAACTATTTTACCCTGCTTGTATTATTGAATCCGTCATGAGAAAGTTGACTTTTTTTTTCTTTTTCTTTTTTCCTTTTCCCATTTCTGCCCTCTTCAGCCTCTCCCCCCTGCAGGCTTCTGTTGCATTTCCTGCCTCTGTTCCTAAGTCTCTATCTCCTCTTCTTTTTAACCTCCATGACTAATTAGCAAGTATGCCACTTTTTACAAAAAGGCTTAACTCAAATTTAAAGATTAACGCTATCAAATATATTCCAAGATGCACAGACACTGCAGCAAGTGGATGGATATTCAGCATTTTAAAAAACACAATAATTAAACAACAACTAAACTCTGCTTTTTGATGACTTGTTATAGATCACAAAGCAAAAACAAAATTTGAAAAATCCCTCTTCTATGAAAAGAGCTTTTCAAATCAAATCCAAGAGAGATACTCAGCAATTTTAACCAGATTTATTTTAAGCAAATAAAGGTTTATTTTAGTTTCCCAGTCACTTGGCCATCCTCAATACTTCAAATAGTATTATCCCAGTGCAAAGTAGTTCAAAATTCTGAGCCAGAATGCTGCTCCAGCATTCTAACTACTCATCTTTGTCCTGCTGAGAACTCAATGCTTCAATTTTATGGTTTAAACAGTGCAACATAGCAAGCACAAAAGGCTAAAAGAATGAAAAGTACCCTAATGAGTTGTCTGACAAAAAACATTAATTTCAGATCACAGAAAATGGCAACAAATCTAATGAATAAAATTCAAACTACTGAAATGCTTTGTGTGAAACTTCTCTAATGGGTTATTATAATAATTAATATTTTTATATTAACTCAGGAAATAAATGTTTTGGCCTCACAGACGAGCACATCACCATTCAAAACTAATGACACATGAAAAAAAATGATCAAGCGTATGAACCATCATCTTAGAAACAGTACCAGCTTATTCCAACTTAAGAAGTTCATACTTTTCATCTGCTAAGTTTCAAAGGCTGACCATTTGCATACGACAGAAAATAGCAGCTAAAACATGTTAAATGTTTTTCACTGATACTCAAGTTAAAGTAGTAAATTTTTCTCATATTTGACATTGCTAAAGTCATGTGGAGAATTAGCTACTGCTCACTGATGCACACTCATCATAATTCTGCTGTTTGAGCAGATCTTGATTTCGTTGATGATAGACAGCTAGAGAAACATCACAGAGGTAGAAAGAGCAGGAAAGGACCAAGCAGAATATAAGCAAGTCCTAGGATCGCGGACCTTAGAAATCTAAAGGTTAATAAAGAGGCTTGGAGCTACGAATAAAGAATCTGCTTCCTACTCTTTGCTTTGTTGGGTATTTTGTTTTGTTCACCTTGTGCTGCCTTTGCACATTCTTTGCAAATACTTAACGCCGTCCTAGTATTTGACCTTGCCGTCAACATTCTCAAAAAGGAACAACTTGCAGGTTGCTAGCCTCTGGCTAACTACCTGGATTGAAGAAAAGGGAAAAAAGAATCCATGAATTCATGAAAGCTTCTCATGCACTGTGTTCTTCGGAATGGTGAAAAATGTGCTCAGCTGTGCGACACAAGAATACACCTACTATTCTTCTAGTGATAATGACTAAAACTAGACAAAGAAAAAAGCATCATGGGTTCCAGAATCATATTGTTTTCTCAAATAACTTATTTTAAAAATTTCTAATGTTTACAAATAAATTCAATTTCTCCGTGAAATTGTCATATTGGAAATACAAGGGAAAGAAAGTATGCCTTCTCAGCTTTACCTTAAATACTTGCTTAGCATTTATGACTAATGCATAGTTACATTATTAAATATATAAAGGACCTTAAAAATAAACTTTGTATACATATATATTCTCTGTATTCTTTCTTGTTTCATATCGCTGTATTGTAAATGAGTGAACAACTCTGAGACTACGCTGGTCAAAGAGAACGACTTCTAAGTTTTCATTCTACACGTACTCAAGATATGAGCTTTCAAGCACATTTACAAAGCTTTCAGCAATGTGACTGCCTATTTACAACAAGTCTTTGAATGCTTTTTCTCTATTTATTGGTTTTAGATTGCAATACCCTCGGTTAGGACACTGCTCTCGCAAGACTCAAGACAAAACAGTACTGTAAAATACTGTCTATTTTTCATTATAGTTATAGTAGATGCAAAAATCCCAAACACACACCCAGACCCAGGTATTTATATTCTATAAAACTTTGTCTCTGTAATAAAAGAATAAAAGAAGTAATAACTTGCTCTGAGGGATGGAGGCGTCATTTTCTGTCTTTTGAATTCATCTCACAATTGAATATTATACACCGTGCTTCAAGTGTTACATTCAGACTTCCAATATGACAATAGCTTTAAGTCAGAGAACTTAGGGATCTGTTCCTATGAAGATTCATTTAGCTGTTACCACTAGATGGAGCAGACTGAGTAAGGATTTCCTCCAAGATAAGGAGGACAGCCAATTCACTGGCTGGATAGCCCATATTCTCTCTATCCTGATGAAATACCCTGTACTTCTCTTTACAATTATAAAACACCGGTTCCTTCTTTCAGTCCATATAATGTTCTACGGCAAACTAAATTCACATGACAACTTAAAGAAGACAGAAGTATTTGATATTTCAGTTCATATGTTAGTCTAACTACAGTGCATAGTTGACTGCATTAGATGGATTTCAAATACTGCCAAATATGTTCTGCTACAAAAAAGTGAGCGTGTCTTGTGTCTTAAGATTTTACTGAAAAGTTGCTGAGATTATACCTTTCAAATTCAGGATTCAGTTGGAAGTAAAACTGGTATCAAAGTCAGTCAATTCTTCAAATAACTTATAATTGCAAGGTTGTCTGCTTTTGAGTTTCAACTAAAAACAGGACAAAAGTCTGGATTTCTAACAGAGGAGAGGAAAAAAAGAAGGGAGGGGGGTGACCAAAAGCACCAGGCTTTTCAAAATCACACTAACTTCACTAAAATTTCATCAAATCTAAACAGAGGGAATAAAACTTGTGTATTATAAAAGGCAAAACTAAATCCTGCTGGCTTAAAACATGTTGAACGAAAACTTACAAACGAGCTCATGGTATTTTTAATAGATATTTCTTTGTAAGAAAATACATACCTTCATAAGTCTTTGGAGGTAATACTGCCAGTAATTCATAAAGTTTATGTCTGTAAACTGTTGATGGTGTTTTTAAAGAATTTCCATATAATTTATATATTGAAGAAAGCCTTAAAATATAAAAAAAACCCCACATCACAGAGGTTCAAAGAGATCAAGCATTATGGAACACTCTGGTTTCACTAGTACCAAACTCTGCTGAATATTTTAAATCTATGCCTATTATAACTACAGTTCTGATTTGCATTACCAACAGCAGAAACAAAATTTATATTCATATCCTCTGACAGAACTTCTCCACTGTCTCTTCCCAGTTCTTATTTTTCTTTGATACTAGAGAAATAAATAAGCTTTTCTATTGCATTTGACCATACCAATGTTTATTAAAAGTAACTTTTTTGTGGATATATCTCTGAGTTAAGAGTTTATAGCCCCAATACAGTAAAGCATTACATACTAGTTAAACTTTTCCTCACTTTGGAGTATAACACCCCCCCGCTTTCCTTTCCAGGTTAGCTGTCAGTCTAAATGCAAAAAAGATAATCTATACAAGTTTTTGCTGCAGCACATTCTTGAATAGTGTTTTTTTAAATTTTATAGAAACTAACCACACACACATTATTTTGATTAATATTATACATAATATCAACAGAATATTTGATTAAAGAAGCAAAATAAAGACATTAACATATCAAAAGCATAACATTATTTCTTCTCTAGTGTCTTTACACGACACTAAAATCTGCAAGACATAGTATTATACTAGCTAAAGCCTACAGAGAGTTCAGTTACACAGTTGAATTCTATAATTACAGTACTTTGGAAAGATAGTTCTTTAGACAATTCCCTAAATCAAAAATACAAGAAGACTGTTCTGTAGCTTTTCAGAACCAGAACCTCATTTAACTTTTTTGATATACTTACTGTGTCAATAAATCAACAGCACTTGGGAGAGGAGGAAGAAGTCTCTGAACAACCTCATCCGTAAGAAGACCAGCACAGTGGGAAACAAAGCTTTTGATAGCTAAAAAAGGAATTGGATTTTAACTCAGTTAGAATTAGATGACTGGAAGGGACAGAAAATTACACCATTACCTCACTCATTTAAGCATAAGAAAGAATACCAAAAAAAAAAATAAAAAGTATTTTGATCAATAATTTAAGAAGCTGATAAAATCTTGAATGAAAAATCTTATTCTCAAATGCATTGTTTTGTGTCTCAGCTTGAATGTTAGTATCTTGACTTCAAAATGCATACACCAACGCAAACATTTCTTGCTGTGTTACCAACTGAGTTATGGTAGATAACTTCACGGTATTAAGGGCGGGGAGGGAGGAAGAGCGATGATGACCAGACGACTTGTGATGACTAGACCACCTGCCACTTAACTTGCTAGTTTTCCCTTTAAGTTTAGCTTAATTACTGTACTGCAAGAAACAACTCATTTGTACGCAAGTATTTTTCATTATTTACAGAAAATTAAACTCGACTTAGTATTTCAAAACGTACATAGAGAATACATAGTCCTATTTTCAAAAATGAATAATATTTAAAGGTTAACTATTTAGGCTAATTTTAAGAAGAAACTACTCTTTGATTTCCATACTTTCAAACAGATTTTAACTCTGAGAGAAGGACGATTACTACCCTAGGGCTCATATTTCTGCTATGCAAAGGACAGTTTTAGTACTCCAGAGTACTTGAGTGGAACACATTAAGTATTTGAAGATCCCTGGAATAGTCTCCTGGAAACCCAAATTCCTTATATTTCACAATAAAAACTGCAAGATAGACCTACTAGACAGTAGCCAAGACGACGGCACTGTTTACTGGCTGAGAATTGCAGCTTCCTTGTTGTATTTTCTGTCTGTCTGTTCTCAGCCTGGCAAAAGTGCTTGATCCATCCATTAATTCTATTATGCTTATAAAACTATTAGGAAATAGACCGTTATTTACCAAATAGAGTACACTCTGTATAAACAACAGAACATACCCTAGCTTAGACCCTCAGATGTTACTGTGACATGTATGTTAGAGAAGAAAAAGGGAAGCATCCTTCCTGATATCACTTATGGCTTGGAAATCAACTGATTAAAAGAATAAGAGAAAAACCCTCCCAAATGATAGATTATTTCTTTATTTTTGCAAAAATGTGCTTCCATATATCCATATATATACACACACACACACATATATACTTATACATATATACACACACATACATAGGTAAATATATATATGCTCAAGCATGCATGTTGGGGAGGTAGTACCTCTTCTATCACCACCCGCCACGATATACATCAATATGAAATATCTTTGTTCTTTCAGAAGGGGAATAAAAACCCCCAAAATTGTAAGCATTCAGAGAAAGACACGTTAAATCCCTCTTACCACAGAGAGCACCAGCACGGCCTTCCAGTGTTACTTGCCATGTAAATGAATCTCCTCGAGTCTTCTCTGTTTCTAGGTCTTTAGGAGATGATGGAAAGATGCACTTCCACAGTAGCAACATTCTTGGCAGATGGTGTTGGACAACTGCAGGACCTTTAATTATTGACAGTTGTTATGCCAATGTGAGAATTCACAAAATTAAAACGTTCTCTTTAATTCCTATGTTCACAAAACCATTATCGCTGTGACCATCAAAACTACAGATAAGCATCTCAACAAATCTTTATGCTGCTTTCACAGTCTGCTCATATATAATTTCTCAGTTTTTTGCTGCTTTGGTATTACATTTTCATACATAACTACATGCCCACCGATATGTTTTTTAATAGTAGGTCACCCAGCCAACTATAATCTCTGTCTTACTAGATCACCAGCATAAAAGCCATCTAGTAAGCAGCAGTGGTGTTCAGAAAAGCAAACATTTGATATAGGTTCACATACAGGGCATATTCTCCCTAATCCAGGAAAAACTGATGGGCAGAAGTGATTGTTGAAAATGTGAAAGATGGCTTAAAATATGATCAAAATAGATAAAATTCATTCGTCATCAGTAATTTAGAGATCAGAGTCAGTAATGTGACCACTAATAACTATCAGAAAGTTCAGTAACATTTCAAGTGTCTGGCAAGAGAGGGAAATACACTCTCACTCTTATTTCATATTGAATTAACTTTAGTCCCACCCAAATACTGCTTTTTCCGACATTACTCCCAGTGAATTAATAGCAAATTTGAAAGCAATGACGTCTTTATTTCAGAAAGTTTATTTTAAAGATTCCAATTTACATTATTATTTTAGAATTATTTTGCAGTATTACGTTAAATAAAACATCGTAAGTACTAAAGTCAGAGACAGAACAAAAAACAGCTTAATTTAGTTTAAGTAAAAATTGTAGGAACCTATTACCTAATGTCATGAGGGCAGCTATCAACAGCCATCCAGCCTGTGTTCGCTGCAGTGAAATTCGACTGTTCTGAGAAGCAGAACACAGCAAATCCTCTGCTACTGTCATGACTACCTTCAAAGGTAAAAACAAACAAACAAAAAAAACCCCAAAGAGCATCAGCATCTTAGTAACTACATATGGAAATCAAATACAGCTTAAAAGCAAAATGATACAATCCTTGGCAGTTTCCAGACTCAGTTATTTACAAATGTCCCCAATTCCCTTGTTTCAATGAAAAATGTCATTCCTTCAGCACCTTAACCACCACACAACTAACAAATCTTCTGATAAGACACAAATGCCTTCTTGGGCAGGCTGAACACCCGTTCTGAAGCAGCTTGGCTTGATTTAGAAGGAAGAAACCTAAATACCATCTCTAAACCATGCCTTATTTTCAGCAAATCACTTCTCAGTCAGAAGTTGTGATGTTAATATAGAATAAGGGACTGCAGTTGAGGATGCAAAGGTCCTTGAATTTTTTTTTTTTCCAAAATAATACAACTACACTTAAGCAACACCGCGGAAAAAATAATAACAAAGCATAAAGACTGCTAGCCCACACGATAAGTTTTGTGTAAAGGCTAATAATCCCTTTAATTCTCTGGTAAAGACAGTTGTGTTCTTTAACGTCTTCCCTCTTGCATGCTGAGCAGTTTCCAAAACCTAGAGGTCAGCTGTTCCTCTGAGGAGCTCACAATTCAAAGACAATCAAATGGACAGTGAGCAAGTGAACAGAAACAAAAAAACCCTACTATACAGAAGTCAGCAAACACAGACCAAGGCCTTCAGAAGGTGTTAAAATTATATAGTCCTGCAAAATGAACTTCGTGAAATCATACCATGCACAAGAAAAAAAGTACAAAATTCTGACAAACAGAAAGACGTGATCAAGAATTTGATAAGGCACAAAGGATGTGTTTTAACTTCTTCCAACACTACACCTTCTTATCACTAGGACAGAATGACTCTCACTCTCAGTAAAGACAAAGTCAGGTGTAGCACAGAGAACACCCACCAGAAACCTAACAAGGTCAGCAAATGAAACTTGTTTTCCCTGAAAGCTACTGACAATTAGACAGCATTGGTAAAACTGGAAAAGAAAAAAATCCCTGCATTTTGGAAGAGTAGGCAGGTAGAAATTTGGTTGCTGCTGAGTGCAAAGAGATAAAAGCAGCTGTTTCCCGGACTGTGGCATCACAGGTAGGAACTTAAAATGTTTTTCAGTCAAAGCAAGAAACAAAAATGTTTCTAAAAGTGCCACCGTAGCTACTACAGGCCAGTAAAAGGCTACTTATAAACATTCTGCCTTAAGCAGAGAGCAGAGTTTTACCTACCCTATTTACTTCCCCTGAAATTTTTCCTCTCTTTCCGAAGCAGGCAAGATTTTCTACTTCTCTAGATAACAAGCCTGCTGCAACTGCCTTCCCAGCTTCAGCTCACGGGAGAACAATCTCAATGCACAATAGCATGTTCATCCATTGCCAGGACCCTGCACCGCAGTATCTTGTTACTGGTTATAGTAATCTTAACTCCTAACCGTGGCTCCAGTTTACATAGGGAAAGTACTGGGGAAGAGATACTACCATTACAAAATAGTTTTTCAACAGCATTGCCAAAATATTTGCTCCTATTGCACTGTCAAGTCGAACACTATCTTCCACTCACACTATAGCAAGAAACTCAGACTCATGAGGTAGGAATGACTAATTTCAGCACTAGTCTAGGGTGGCCCGATAATTCCTGTGGGATACTAGGTAAAGTAACTTAGCTTCTTTGGCTCCTGTTTTGTCAACATAAAATGAGAGCCGATAATTTTCTCAGGAACATATGTGGCAAGGTTAAAAGTGTTCTGATTTCATATTTATGCCTCTAGGAAAAAAAAAGATACCTTGAGACCTACGAGAGTTAAGCAAAAAGGGTGAGAGAGTTAAAAGATCTTTTTTGTCCTCATTTTAAGGTCAGTTCTGTCATCCTTCCTGACAGTTTTTATGCAACAAATGGTATGATTAAACAAACAAGTCAGAAGGATATGCTAAGGCACGGATTAACACTAGCTTAGCTTCTCCACAATAATTGCATATGTGCCTACTAAAAGCAAGGTAACAACTTGTGCTTGTTATCAAAGCACAGACTATCTAGTATTTACACGGAAGAACCATGTGTCCACGGAAATTAACCACAGGATGTCTACAACTTGTACAAATATTCTGCAAACGGTTTGCTTCAGTTATACTTCACATATGCCAAAATATATTTCCTTGTATCTTGCATTATGTCTGACTGATAAAACAAACTGCTTATACATGAATATTACAAATGAGAAGTGTCATTAACTTATTAAAAAGCCTCACTATAGATGATATCTTTCTATAACTCATTTGCACACTTATAAAACTGCATAAATTGTTAATAGACTGAAAATACTGTTTTCCCCAATTCCATAACGCTATCAGGTGCCTACAAATTAAGAAATTTATTTTGATGGATTTTTGATAGATAAAACGAAAATTATGATGATAAAATATTTGATTCTAAAATTAAAACAGCATCCTTGTTCAATTATACTATTAAAAGTTACTAACAGCTTGGTATTTTCAAATTACTTGATAAACAAGCATCCTAGAAAGGGTTTCATTGAATGATTTCTGGTAGTTCTTCTATACACTAGTACTTATGACTTGTTTTTGAAGGATTTTTTTTCAACCTGAAATATAAGCACTAGCACGGAATGATGAATATATATAAAAACACTATTTTGTTTCTTTGAATAGGTTCCACTTGAACCTGCAGCTCTAACTGCTCTCTCATAAAGGAAAATGTATTAATATAATATGACTTCTGCCCAGATCGCCACTGTCCGGATTTGATACTTCTTTTTCAAAACTGCTTTATTTGACACTAGTCTCTTTCAGTTCCTCAGAAGAGGAGATAGTTTGGCATCTGGCATTGTTCCTAGGAGAGAACGGAGAAGAGCTTTGGTAAACTCTTCTGTTCTCCCCCACGACAACTTAGTGCAGAACGTAACGTTTCTCACACACTTGTCTCTGCCCTCCCATATCTTCCCCAGGCCCTGTGTCATCCTGTTCTGTTCCTCTAAAAGAATTCTTTGTTGAGAATTATGTTTTCTTGTTAAACAGCCTACTTGATGCTTAGATATAAAATATTCGTATGGCACTTTTTATCTATACAACTATACATTTCTTTCTCTTCCCATGGTCTGGTGAGTAAATACTAGATAAAGTTTTTAAAACCTAACAAAAATTGCTTCTTCCTTTTTGCTAAAAATTGTTCAATCAGTAGTTGGGATTTTGAACGTTGAGAACTGTAAATAGCAAAGTATGTTCACAAGTGCTGTGTAACCGTTAATACTCAATAATATTGAAAGGGTGGGCTGCAATTACTACAAGGACGATATTTGCTAATATGTTAAAGCATTCCTTTCATCTTACAGTAGTGTAATAAGAAGAAAAACTGAATTCTTCTGTCAACAAAAGACACATCACTTCACTTCCCTAATATCCCTTCGCTCTGAAACAGACATTTTCAGAAAGGAGAAGTCTCTATAGCATGCAGCAAATTAGCATGCACTGCTGATATTTGTGTGGCACCATGGTTTTCCAAGTATGAAATGGATAAAGTTCTTGTTCAGATGGAAAAGGCTTTTACTCCTAGCCTTTATATTTGGATATCCCTAACTCTAAACTAAAAGGGTATGGTATATCCTATCTGTGCTAGTGGAAAGACTGGCATGACTGTCTTATACTATATTGATGCAAGCAATTGATTTCCATTAAATTCTATTAAACAATATGAAAATGTTTATTTGTTGGATCTTACTTGCTTGAAGATTTTCAAGATATTATTGCTCTTGGTTTAAGTATTGACAAAAATGTACACTGGAGAGTCATTGATGGGAACGGGGAGTGTTCATTCAGAGAAACTGCGGTTAAACCAGCTTCCTGCCAGGAAACTTAACATTTCTAATGTCCCAGCATGCAACAGATCTGTATATATACCTCCAATTAGTTTTTATAAAAGAAAGATATTCTTTGCCAAGCCTGATACATTTCCAGTGTATTACAGTCTAGCCTTTTCTTACCATTAACACTGCTGTGAAACTCACAGGAAAGAGAAAGAAATGTCAGGTTGCCAATTTAAGCCAATGGCAAACAAGGTCAGAATTACAGAAGCTTTACTCCTGCTGGAAAGAATTTGTAATTCTGAAACATGTAACTCATCAAGAAATTTATTCTGCAAATAAATCTTTTCTCAGATGGTTCAATTTAAGGCCTCATAGTTCCTTAGAATTGACTTCTATCCCAAAACAGGGTAGTAATACCTAACAAACTTCTCCATCAGAAAAAGGTAGCAGACTGAGTGGTTAACAGAGCCATTAATGGTGCACAACTTATTTTAAGAAATTCCTGTCCAGTTACATTATGACACATCTGAGAAAAACATTTGCTTACTTGAGTTACGGTATGCTTGGAAACCCCCTTCTCAAGAAAAGAAAATAACACATGGGTATAATGAGGAATACTAGTTTTATAATCATGTGATAAAGAATACCTACAAATACTACTGCAAAAGTCAAAGAACTGTCTCTAAGTAAAGTATTAGAACCATACCTTCCCTTTTCCATGTGGAATTCCTAAAGGACAGTGTTTTACTGCACCCAGCAAAGCAGCAACAGCAAAACTATAACCAGTCACTGCTTCTGGGGAGGATTTCAATACACTAAGACGTTCAATGCAGCGATCCAAAAGTAGGGACACATAGGATGGCAGTGCTACTGCAATGCAGCGCAAACACCAAGCTGCTGTTAGTCTAACTGAAATGCTGGGATGAAGAATGACAGAAATTACTGCTTCCAGAATTCCTGAAAAATAAAGGCATAAACACACTTAAGAAAGAGGCAAAGTAGGTGATTCTTACAAAGAAGACAAAACAAGCAAAAGTGTACATGGAGGAATGGTAAACATACCACTATCTAGTTCCTGTACTTCTCTTTAAAAAGTGCTACTATTTTTTATTGTAAAAGATTTCTCAATTTTAAATATTTCAGCACTTTTGAAAAAAGTTACTGCAAGTGAAAAGTAATAGTATGAAGCAAACATAAAATAACATGCACGGGAAACATCTGTAAGTATATCCAAGGACGCAGAAATCCACGCAGATGTCCACTTGAACCAATCAGCTTTCAAGGCTGGAGGCATGGTACATATGCATGCATTCGGATTAAAGAAAAAAAGAAAAAAAATTCTCCCTGCACTTAAATGAAAACAGTAAAGGCCAACGAAGACACTCAGCTTGACCAAACTGATTTATTGTAAACAATACAGAGAGTGTTGGACTCAGTTTAAATATGGCCCTTAATCAGGTAAATTTGATATTCATCACACACACACACACACAAATAGGGTATGTACCTGTACTGGAATCTTGTAGTAACGGTGCTGCTGTGGTTCCTAAGCCATGGACAAGACTTCCAAGTTCTTGCAGCGTACACACAAGTACATGCTGACTTGCTGTTACATCTGTTGTATTAATTCGTGTTTCCAAGTTACTGTCACTCATTGCAGCATCTGATAATGCAATATAGGAGAATTCCTATGAAATCGTTGCCAAAATAAAACAAACAGATTGGATAAAGCTCCGAGCTTTTATCATTGGCTTTTTTATCACTGATTAAACAGTTTCGATAAAGGTTTACTTTCACTGAGACAAGTACATTTCTATCACTGAAATGGACATTGTAACAACTTCTGTGAGGCCAGGTGGGTAGAAAAATACAAACTGCCATACTGCTCATCTGACAGATGACAAGATATGGTGGCTAAAAAGAATGAAGTTATTTTCAAGCTCCACCATGACTTGCAAGAGGTTGTATTTTAACAGAATTTACTACTTCGTGTTAGAGAGGAGAGAGGGGGAGAGAGGGGAAGACAAAATCCATTTCTGTGCCAGTTTACCTTTTGAAATAGACATTATGTCAGCTTAGATCCCTAGGTATTTAACTAAGATGCAACATGCAGTTTATACCAGGCAGGAACTGGCCATGCCTAGCATTCTCTTTTCCCCCACATGGCTGATGCTAGGACAGCAGCATCTGCGTAGAAGCCGTGTACGGATCTTTTATGCTATAAAGGATGTTTTTGTCTCCAGGAGAAATGCTTGCTTTGTCAATTAGAAACAAATCCTTTTCTGAACAATCAGTAGTGTCAGCTGCACCAAACAGGAAGGCAGAATCTGGCTAGTCATATATCAACTACCAATTTAACTTACTTTATAACACTGTGTATGTTTTACTATTGCCTGTATTTGTTTTATTGTACTATTTCATTATATTTATCATTTATGAAAATGATGTTGCTGGGGAAGAAGTGGGGTTTTTTTTAATTTTACATACATGTCTGTATGGGCATGCACAGACACACACAAGCCAATAACCAGCCTGCGTTAAAAACAAAAGCACCCAGCAGAAGCAGTCTACATTATTATGCTAATAAACCAGCACTAGATTTTCTATCCCTGCAGTCTCTGGATTAGGAAGTTGGACAAACAATCACTTAAATAAAGAAAAACAGAGGCCTGAATGGATAATCTTGTTAGACCCATACCCACAACTTTCTTCAATTTCCAGATGGCCTGACAAATCTCCTTGGCAGCTGCAATTTGAGCTTTTTCCCCAAGAAGGCCTCCTACTGTAGCTCGAAGGATAAACGAAATACAGCGGCGACAGCAGATAGCATCCATCTGAGTCTGAATAGCCTTAGGGTGAAACTGAGACACGAGATCTAGAATATGGGAAAGGAAGGCAGAGAAGTTCCTTTCAAGCCATTGTCCTCCTAACGTGGAGACAAATACCACATATGCCTGAAAGAGATTTGAAAAGAAGCCATATTTTAGAGCAGTACCATCTGGAAAACCACTGCTAGCTGTCCTACGTACATATTTTTTGATCCCTGCGCTTTGGCACTACCAGAACGTCACTGAACTGAGATCATTTATACACCCATAAATCAGGTACATTCTCAGTTTCTGGTAGCTGAAATTTTTTTGCCTATTTAAATCATTTAAGTTACTACAAATGAAACTTGTACTAGCAATATTGCAGCTTGGTTTGACTGCAGGTTAATTCAAGCTGCTTGCCTGTTTTACTTCATTTCAGAGTGTGAGAAACGGCAGTTCACCCTGCACAGGCACTTGTTATGTAAAACATTATGTTTGGTCTCACTGAACAACAGCTTCCAGCTATTTAACATTCTGCACATGTAACCCAAATGTAATGTATGAATGCATTTTAAGAACTATTATGTTACAAAAGTATAACACACAACTCTGAGAGAATTCTGTTATTATAGGCTTTGAATTAGAGAATATTTGCAGGCCCCATGCACTGCTCTTCATTTCAGTGAATTTTAATTGTTTGCCTCGCAATAAAGGTACCATAAAAAGATTACGGATGTCACAACAAAGAGAAAGAACGCAGAACTATTCTACAAACCTAATCACCACAAGACTCCCTTACAAATGTCTTCCATGTGCATGTGTTGGATTCTGCTTTTAACGAATAGATTGCTATCACGAAGAAAAGCGAATGCAATAAAGTGAGACTATGCAAACGAACAAAATTCCTCATAAGAAAGTTCACATTTATTACCACCATCAAACGTCAAGATTTACCTAATGCATACTTTTTCCACGTCTAATATCAACAACTAAATTATTCATGTAAAAAGAGGTAAGGCACTGTAGTTCCTTTTTTTCCTCTCAGAGGACCCAGCAAAATACTTCTGGATGGAGAAAAAAAGAACTCAACTTCTGGATATACAAAAAAGCTAGCAGTTGGATAAAACAATTTTTTCTTCAATAACTTAATAGCTCTTGATAAATATTATTTAGGCTTCATAATGTACCAGTACATTTTACAGATTTGAAAATGGAGGAATTTAACAGGACAGACTTACAAAGAGTCATACTCTTATGGTTAGTTAAGGTAATTTAATTACTCTAATTTTTTTAAACTAATTTAGAAATGTAGACAATCAGAATAAAGAGAAATAGCACAAAGAATTGCCTGTTTTTGACCATAATTAGAGGGCATATGTAAAAATGATTTTATAAGATAAGTCTATCTCAGTTCTGCTGCATTTCCTCCTGAATTTGTCAGATATTTCTTGTGTTTAAAGTACAATGCCATCAACAGTTTAGTTCTTTAACAATACAGTCAAGTTTAGCTAGGACCTTTCAATTTCTAATCCCATAATCCCATCATTAAAACATAATACTTTCTAATTTCTGAACGTATCCTTCAGCAACAGAGTCAGGAAAATTTTTCTGCAGGTTCAAGGTGTGGAATCTGCGTGCTTACAGCTCTCCAGGAAACTAAACAAGAACGTATTTTCTACCTAAGGCTCAAGACTCAACTGTTAAAATCCCCATTTACATAGACAAATCTTACGGGTTAAAATTAAATAAATAGATACAAATAAAAGGAAGTAGGGGCCACGACTAAAAACGTGCACCTGGGAAGAGATTCTAAATACCGATATGTACAAAGAGAGAAGTCTGAGAGCTGTAAAAAGCTGCACTCTTGCGGTTGCTGACTCAATTTCAAGATTTAAATTTAAGCTTATTTGATGCCACTGAAACATATTTTTTGAGATATGAAAGAGAAGTGTACCTCCATCTTCTCTACACACTCCCATTAGGTAGTTGAAGTCAGCAGTTAATAACTCTAACCTTTGCTGCTTAAGGCTGAACAAGCTTTTAGGGGTTCTTTCACCCTCTCCCTGTGCATCAGGTACTCTGCTCCCCTAGCTATCTTGGAGGCCCTCCACTGTGCTTATTCCAATATATGAATGTCCTTGAGAAGCCTAAACTTGGACACAGAGCTCCAGATGGTTTCACAAGAGCTGAATAAAGAGGAATAATCACTTTCCCTCGACATTCTGGCTGCATCTTGAACTACATCTTGAACATGGCTGAATGTTGATCAAATATAAATTCTTTTTCCATATTTAAGAAGCCATCTTCAATACTCTTCTGATTTTTTAATTTATAACAATCTGTAATTCACATAATAATGAATACATTTTATAAATGCAGGTGCTTTTTTACTTACAATCACTGAAATATGCAGAATTCCTCAAGTCTTTGCTTATAAACACATCAAACTGCTTTAAATACGATGGTACAGTTAGAGTGTACAAATCCTCTAGCACAGGGGCTATTATACCAACTATACCATCATTTTTACTCCATACATCAAAAAGACGACAACCCCAAACCAGTAACAAATAATCAAAAGGTTTAACTGAAATACCTGTTCTTGAAAAAACAATATAACTGCTCTGTGTACATACAAGACTGGTATGCATTTCTTGGCAAAGAGCTGCCAAGATATTATTGTCCCCCCAGCTGTTCTGCCTCTCTGCCAGAAGTTAACTGCCACATCAGCTGAAGACAGAAGACAATGTGTAAGCACCTTTTAGCTGTTTCAGTGCAAGGTATAGCAACTTATATCAGCAATTCAAGCTAATTTACAGAATTTTTGCGCTGCAGAGGTTGAAACGCACTCAAATATTCCCTTATTGGCAAAGGGGAGGTATCAAATAGCTGTGGGGATGGTAACATATTAAAGTTATCACAACTGTTTGATACATAAATGTTCACCATCACCTTTAGTATTGATTCATGTTTTTAATATTTTAATAACTAGACTTTAACATGTTAAGATGACATTTACAGCAAGAAGTCAATTTGACTTTATCTGAAAAATTTTTATTGCTTTTACCAGCATGCACTATGTGGTCTGACTTCAATTTCTCACTTAACAAGATTCTGTCTTTACTGATCATCCTGGAACACAGCAAAAACAGTTAGCAGACATTTGATTTTTTTTACTAAATTCTCTTTCCCTTATTTTTCAAGCAGCTATTCAAAATAGAACCATTCTTTCAGTCCCTATATACATAATATAAGGAAACAGATTCCAAGTTCAAAGAATTCTTCTTCTTAATTTCCCCCAGTTTTTAGACATAAGGTGTTAGTTAAGTTTAAATTAAAAAATATTTTGAGGAACTAATTTATACGAGTTATTTGCAATTTATATTACTAGAAGTTTTCACAAGCAATACATATTTCATCTGAACAATTTCAAACTATTAGAAAAACAACAAGCAACATCGGAAGTTTTTTTTTCTTTTTAGCATTCCTTGAGATGAAAATCCTTATTATCAATCATGTTATCACAGATAAGAAAAAGGATGAAATAAGAGAAATATGGAAAGCAAAACAGATGTTACAGGAACGTTTGGCATTCTTAGAAAGTCACAAATAATGCAATCCAAACCTGAGCGACTCCAACTCTAACATCTCTGGTGACTGAACTAGTCCCTTTCAGCATATCACCACTGGCTCTTAGAAATCCACAACTTCCACGTAAAAATCCAGTTCCTAATAGCTCCATGGCTTCTTCTAGAGAGATTCTGCGAAAGTTTTGCCTAGTGGAGGCTAAGAATAGGTATATATGTTTAGAAGACTATGTCTGAAAAATTTTTTACATTTTAAAAGTAAAGTTTCAAATCTAATAAAAAAAAATTGCACAAATTCAGTAGCATAACCAAATCAAAATATTGTTAAAGCATAATTTCCTAAGTGAAATGAAGAGATTTTAGGATCCAGTGCTCCTGTGAACCAGAACAACATATTCAAGTTTTTCTGCTTCACCTATAAACAATCACCTAACCATCACCCAATACGTGTGCATAGGCATCCTCCCTCAGCATTTACCACCATCTTTGCCTCCGCAAGACAGTCTGTAAGGCCTATTCTTCCCCACTCTAATAAAGCTTTGCTTGCACCCTAAGTTTATGAAACCCCATTCCATCTTATCACCAAAGAAAATCAATTCCAAATCGCATCCAGGGATGATTACCTTTCCTTTACACTTAGCCAGCTCTAGAGAGTGCTGGCACAGCAGTATACAAGAAAATCGTTATAAAAAAAGCGCAGACGAGAGACATGAACAGCCAGATGAAGTTTACATTCTGATCTAATGTTTACTCACAGCTTGAAAGGAACTTGAGAGTTTTGGTTATGTGACAGGTTTTTTGTTTGTTTGTTTACAAACTATTGGACTGACTATGAGGAGTCAGCAACCAAAATATATACTTTACCTGTTGTCTGTTTAGATGTTACAGCTCTAGCCAATACTGTGCCTAAAAGTTTTGAAACTGCTAACCGTACATCGTAATTGGAACCTTCAAAGGATTTAAAACACAGGGTGACAACACTATCTAGGTCTGTGCTCCACATAAAAACTGCTTCATTCTGAAGTTCAAGAAGACACTAGACAAAAAGGGAAAGAAAAATGTTTAAGGTAAATGTTTTGATGCAATATGAAAAAGCACTCAATACAGATTTTAGCTTGCAACATAATACACAGAGTTCTCCCTAATAAACAATTACACTGCTTCACACCAAAATGACTTGAATTTTTGCTGCCAAGGCAACGTTTAAGAAAGTAATATAGATAAGCAAATAATATACTTACTGCTGTGTTTATCATCCATTAAAATAGAATTTTATTTAGGGAGCTTACTTAATAAAAACAATTAATAGAGCACTTCACCTTTGCAGCAGCACAGCGGACTGCCATGGATCGATCTGTCAAACATGACCGGGCAGCTTTGTAAATATCTCGGTGACATGGGATAGCAGCAGCTCCTAAACCATTTAATATATTTTGTAAACTAAGCATGATTTCGTAACGCCCTTGAGACTAAAAAATGAAAAAGGAGAAATGTTAAAGTTATAACCCTAAGCTCCTCAGAAATATAAAATGCTGACTACTGAAACAGGTTCTTTTTTTGTTTTTGTTTTTTTACTGTTTAGAGATCTATTCATGCTGAAGTGAGTTACAGCAGGTAACTTGTTCTATAGCACTATAATGAAGTGAAAACAATAATTCTGCATTCCACCCGAAGGTACTCACTGGCAGTTTAATGTCGAAAATATTAAGTAAAACCCAGAGCACAAATGTTCTCATTAATAAAAGCAATTAAATATTCCAGTTTATCAAGTTCTTTCACGAAAGCAGCTTGAGAAGAGCTATGATCCATCCTTTTATAGTCATAATTCATTACATTCTCTAGTCCTTTTTGGAACTTATTTGATGATTTTATTTTATTTACTGATTACATTGATGATTTGTATCCTATGACTTCCCACAATTTTTCCATATATTGTTGTCATGCAATTTTTCCTACCCATGGTCCAGCTACTAACAGTAAACGTCATATTATCTTTCCAATCTTTTTAAACATGCTGTTTCAATACCTCTGCATTCTTCATTGCTTTAAGCACATTCCCAACGGTGTCAGTAAAACTGTTTCCCAAAATTCTTCCCAATTTTTTGTATAAATAGCCCAAGCATACCACTGCAGCACTAAAACAAAAGCAAATCCAAAAATGTGTGAAAACGAATGCAACAACAGATGAAAAGGATCAAAAAGACTGACATAAGCAATGGGCAAACAATGAAATAAGTAAACAGAATGTCCCAGAAATGTAAGTGGAATATTAAAAGGAAAAAAAAAATGGTTCGTCTGTGGTGCACACTCACACTGTAGGAGAACGAAAGATACTGGAGTTGAGAAAGTAACTTGGATAATACAAAAATTCAGATAATACAACCCGCCAGTAAATTTTACTATAGGAATGCTTTTTTCATATCCACTTTTAAACCTTATAAATAAATTTCTAAATAAGCACGCTGTGCATCACGCAGTCTATAACACTATGCTGGGGCAAACGCTGCTAGAAGCGGCCAGGGACAGGTTTGTTCACAGTTTGGTTTTTTGTTACAGTTGTTCACTGTAAATGCTCCAGGACTTAAGGCTCTGGCATCTAAGTATAATAATAAATAATGACCAAAAAAAAAAAACCTTTAAGAAAATAAATGTATAAATCCATGCCTTCTTGCTGCAAACAGATTCTGAAGTTAGTTTCTGGGTAGAACAACTGATAACTGGAGTCTGTGTGCCCTGTATGCCCACAAGCATTTCCTTCAGCAAAAAACAAAAATTGTTAAGTATTGAGCACTGAGAAAAGAAAATAAAGAAACAGAAAAATAATTGTTTAATTAAAGAATGTTTTTCCTTTGAATAACTACTTAAGGCAAATATTTTGGTTTTTTATAGACAGATCTAAACTAATCATATTTCTTTGATGAATATAAGGGAAAAAAAAAAAACAACCATCTTTAATCAGCTTTCTGCTCTTCGGTCAGACCTGCCGAATATGCAGCGACACTGTTCAGCACCTCTTCAAGAAAACATTTAACTTATTCTCCAGTTTAACTCAAATGTTACATAAGTAGTTTTAAAATCCCACATTGAAGATATTCTCAACTAGAAAAACTCATTTAATATTAATAGTCATCCCATAATCTCATTTCTTATCATACCACAATCGTGTTTTCCTCAAAGACATATTATTCATTATTGCTTTTGTCCAACTTAGCGCACACTAACAGTTTGGATTTAAATTTTGCTTTGCTGTGTGTGGCTGGGCATAAAATCACAATTGCAATGTCCAACTACTTTGATAGCTACAGGTACTCTCCCTAATTAGATTTAAGCCTATATACACATATACATATATGTATATGTGTGTGTATTTATATACACACACACCCCTTTCAGATTCTAACCCGAGGAAGGAATATTTAACAAAAAAAATTCCTAGAACTACTTTATTTTATTATGGTGTAACTTGCAAACTCTCCCACATGGTTGACTGTACTGCTGTTTGCTTGAGTGTTGTACGAAAGTTTCCATCAGTATCGAACAGAAGTTTCTACCAAAAAATCAGCAATATCACATCCAGGAGTGCCTGGATCCTAACTCTGCTAGTAAGATACATTACTCAAAGCTATTTGCCTAGCATGTCTCTTATTCTACATTATACAGATATTACCACACATCCAAATCTGACTTTGAAGTCAATTGCAGATATATAGCAATATCTCACTTTATCATTCTTCTCCAAGCCAAACAATGTTTTGCTTATATTTTTACCCCTTATTTCTTACTCCCTCTGTGTACTGCATCATTAATATGCAGTCATGCTTTACTATCTACACCCTTATATTTTATTTTCTTGAATATGGTGAAAGGTATACACTGTCATAGGCATGAACGTTATTCTAATACTGTTGTATCCTGTTAAGAATTGGTTTCACATCCTGCAATAGCCGTTCAAGTTGCTTCACTTTGTTGGCTAAGCTTCTGGCATTTGTTTACAGACATTTCAGATGTTTCTAACCAACTGTATCTAGTTCCTCAGCTGGATTATGAAGTATACTCAGTAACTGTAGTTGGAGTTGCACTAGTCTGTTTTACTGCTCTTCTCAGCAGCAATTTTACCACTTCCTTCTTGTTTTTCAAACAGCTGCCCATGCTACTCTGTTACTCATTGCTGGTATTCTCTCTGGCCTGATTTTCAATCGTCTGAGTGGAGCTCACCAACTGTCTCCTATCATTTTGGTTCCTGCTGCACATAGAATTGCCACATTCTTTGTTTCAACATCTACCCTATGAACTCGGATTTATCATGCAGGTAGAAATTTCTCCCCTTACTAGCGTTAACAAGTTGTGTTCCATATCTTTTTTGTAACAAGAAATAGCAGTGCTTGTTTAACTGGCTCTGTGGCATGGGTTCTTCTATATGACAACACGTATTGTCAGCTCTTTTTGTCCCCTTCCCGAACAAAAAACATAAGGAGTAAATTGGCCTCAGTTCACCTTATTACCTTAAAGCATACTATGGTCATTCATAGTTCTGAACTACAGTGTATAAGTACAAGTTTAACATACTCACGCTCCTAACCAAGTTAATTTAGCTTAGCTTTCAGACCACTCCCAGGCCATTTCTTTCCAGTGGACACAGCAAATGCTAAACATCTTGCTAAGTCAAATTTGGTCTAACATACGCAATCTAGGCTGAATCCCGTCAGCCACCAAGTTGACCAATTTAACTGTGTTAACAACTTCAAAAGTCATCAGTCACCTTCTATTGTGATTGATTCTTCAGTTATGTTTATGTAAATCACAACAAGAAACTTCTAAATAAGGGTAAAAAATACATTTAAACTTCTTAAGTTTTCAAGGCCCATTTATATAGTGAAGTGTTACTTTATTCACAACATTCAGCAGAACTTCTTAACCAAAAACTGCCAGTAGAGACACTCAAGGTGACATATGACACGCTACACAAGTACTAAACCACTCCTAATTCTGCCCCAAAGGCAGCATACATTATATAGCTAAGATAAAATTGTTACGCTGCCTAGGGGGAAAGAGGCCGTTTGAATTTGCTTTCAGTTTTCAGATTAGCTTAGTTTCTCTTTGCACTACTCAGTCTTTGAAAATTTTAGAGATGCAATAATGAAGAAAAAATTACTCTTTACAATTGGATGCAGTCACAATAATAACGCTAATCAGGGAGCCTTCCAAATCCTGTGTCACATGATACAAAACATGCACTGCACAACCAGCAGAAAGAAGGGGAGCATACCCTCCCCTACCTTCACCTGTTTTCAGGTATATCTATCTCTGCTGTTATGACTGGATTTGAAGTCTAGGATTACAAAAAACAAAACAAAACAAAAAAAACTTACAGTTTTGTAGGCAGATAACTTGGTGAATCATCTTTACTCCGAATGAGCTCATTGCATTTGTCGATTGTTTGGTAAACAGAAAAAGCGTCTCCAGTGCTATAAAGTACCGCTAAATTCTTGGCAACAAGTCGTCTGGTAGGAGGCCCTGGCGCATTGTTTAATAAAGAAGTCAATTGTTCCACCAGTTTCTTTTGATTTTCCCTTATATCAGCCTGGAAATAAAATCAGTAAACAGTTAGCTTTCAGTTAAATTTCAAAGTTAGGTAAAGATAATTATGACAATTCTCTTTAACCTCTTCACCTAATTTAATTATTACTATTCTGATACTGTGACAGTCTTACTAAAAATAAAAGTTGCGTTCTACCTTTCTACTGAAAGAAAGGTAATCTGAAAAAGTGACTATTTTATTATTACACACACATACGAAAATCATTTTTCAGAGCACAATTCTTTCCAGAATTATTTCAAAAATATTTTCCCTATGGCATTGGAATAGTTATACCTTGCTAAAATAAAATTGCCATTTCTTTCTTGTTTTACGTCTTTCTTTTTAAGGGAAAATACAGAGAGTAAATATTCATGGAAATGCAAAGCAGAACTTTTGCAGAGTTTCAAGAAGCTTGAGATTTAAAGAGGAAAATATTTCCCTTAGTAAAATAATTTTCTATTTCCGTATTATCTCTTTTTTTTTGGTCTCAAAAAAAAAAAAAGAAAAAAGACAAAGAAAAAAGAAAGAGCTTGGCACTGCATTTTATTTAGTTTAACACAACTAACATAAATATATCTTAAATAATACCATCTAGATTGGTTTAGCATTAAATAACTATATAACCTACTTAATAGACACAAAACAACAGTGAACCAAAGAACTGGAGAGTTGAATAGGAAAACTAAAAAAAACCAAAACCCAGAGATAAAGATGTTGCATCCTCTTTTTGGCTAGAAAGCTATCAAATAATTATGCCATGATAGCACGACCACCTTTCTTCATCATAGGGTTGCAAAGTCTCGCAGTAATGATCAGAGTTTCAGAAAAATCACTTAATGGTAAGTGATTTTCTTTCTCAAAGAAAGAAAGAATCACTTTCTCAAATTCCTTTTATCAGACAAGTGGCTCTCTCGCTTGAAATCGAGCGACCAAAAACTTGCAACATTTAGACAATTACTGCTAACACTGAACATACTTTCACCACGTGTCTGTAGAAGACAAAGCAAAAGAAAAGCTATACTGTTCCTCGTTTTTAAACAAATTAACAAATAAGACAGAGAAAAATATCTCTATAATATGCTTTTTCGTCTCAAGTTGCATTACACTTACTCTGTTAGTCACTGGTAAAAGTTTTTCCAAAAACTGTAACCATTCAAAAATGAACTCTGCTTTTTGAAATTCACCAAGCTGGTTATATGCTTCTTCATTAAGTAGTAAACTGTGAGCTAACTCCATTCCTTGGGAATTTCCCTATCACTCCTCAAGCACCAGAGGATAAAAAACACAGAACTGTGTTAATCAGTCAGGTTTTCTTCCTCATTAATATATGGTGACTGGATCGCAAGTTTGAACACCTAGACAGAAAAAGAAAAAAAAGAGGCTAGAAAGTCAGCAATCATACCATATTCATGCTTGGCTTTTTAAATTAAATTTTCAAAAGAAAATTTAAAAAGTTTTCCCCAAAATACAGAAGTTTTATTCAGGTGGCTTTAGCAATACTTAAGGGTCTTCGAAATGAGATAACAATGGTATTGATTTAATATACCAGTTAAAGTCAGATAGAGTTCAAAACGCATCAGACAAAGTTTTCAGTGAACTATCATTTTTTCTGCATCTCGTTTTCGTAAGAGGAGGTGTTCTAGTACCTGCTTAAACATCTGTCCAAAAGTAATGAGCAACCAGCCCCAAACATAATGAATTTCATGATCTTGAACTAAGTGCAACAATGGCAGTCACTTAAACCTGAGAATCCCGTTAATTATATTCTAAATGTAGATCAATCTCCTTCCACAAGTATAAATTCTAATACCTTATTCAATTGCTTTATCTATTCTCAATAGTAAGCAAGGTATATCATAAAACAGGATAACTTCATGGATGAACAAACCTCTAACGATGTCTCTAAAAGGAAAAAAAAAGCTTCAAAAACTAAAAATTCAGTAAAAGTTCTTATATTTTATCTTGAATTATTTCAGGGATTCCCATATTGGAGACGGACATAATTAAAAGGAAATCAAGATGAAAAATATTTCTAAAGATTACTTTTTTTTTTCCCCCTGCTTAAATGTCACAGTGCTTCAAGCTACAAAATATGCTTTTGACAGATATTCAGTAGGTTTCTCAAACGGCAATAGTCAAGGAGATTCTGGTAAAATGCCAATCATATTTTAAACTCCCAAACAAATTATCCTCTCCAAAGGTCATCGAGACTGCTGAACACACGTTTTTCCTATGCAGTACCAATATTATAGTGTAAAATGATCTATCAAACAGTAAATGGGCAATACAAAGCAATGCTAAATAATTCAGTGCTCTGGTTGTCATCAAATGCACAGCAGAAGGTTACCTTCATTGCTCTCTACGCATTTTTAATGTTTTTACATAAAATTTACTCACAAAGCAAATTAGTCACATCTGATTTACTATAATGAACTGTCATTTTAAATCTACCTGAAATGCACCACTCTATAAAATGACAAGTAGAGATAAATATACATAGGTTATTATACCTAGATATATTTAATTTGCTTAGGTACATAGTTGTTCACAATTTACTAGCTATCTCACTGCAAGAACACACACACCGTAGTTAACTTCATCCTGCTCGCATTTTTCTGCATATTACAGAAACTGTAGGATTATGTATTTCATTGCATATTTGAACAGAGTTTCATCACTACAGAGCATAGAAGTCACATGTACAGGTCACACAATGTTCTTTCCTCTCATCCAAGGCATGTCCCAATCTCCACGTTCAAGGATCTTTAAATCAACTGCCAACAGCAACTGATTCAACTTGCACAGGGTTGAGATTACATCTCATAGTCTTCTTCGAAACTGAAAAGAATCCAGATGGATGTCAGACATTGACGTTTGACTTACTTAATGGATAATTTCTCCCCATTGTAAAAATACTCTCTGCCCGTCAGGTCCTCTCGGATAAAGGATGTCAAGAACACAATTTCCTGGAAGAGTTAACACAAAAAATAATTAAAAAATAAAAGAGAGATACAAGTATCTGTTCTACAGAAAATAAGAATATCAAAATCTTGTATAATGACATTTTATCAGGTAATAACTTCCCAAAAGGTATGGAACTGGAGCTCCATAAATATTATTAGATCTTTATATATGCTGCATTTCAATCAGGCAGACCCAGTATACTCACCATACAATTTCATTCATTGCACTACTGAAACCACCCTTCTTGTTTCTATTCTTTTAACTCAGGTTAATTCTGAAATGAAAAAGTAAAAGCTCAGATAGTATACCCTAGTTGTTTTCTTAGCAGATATCGCCAATGCCTTAATAAGACCTATGTTACTTCAACGTATCTACAAAAGGATAGATGCAAAATATTTAGTACATGAATGCGGAATGCTATCATGAATGACCATGTCCTTATCATTAATTCATAAACTATTTTAAACGTCATAGCATTCATATCTGAATCAACATCCAGCAGAGCTGGCAAAGCGGACTTGACCGTTCTGAAAAAATCCACGTAGAATACTAAGGATACAACAGGACATCAGGATTATCAATCTATTCTCCTAGCTTCCAGAAATAATTTTAATACTAGAATGAATGGGTAAAAATATTTCCTTTTAAACCTCATTCAACTTGAATTTAGTCTAGCAGGACACCAAACGCAGGACATATTCTATTTTTCAAATAACCACATTTCAGTCACGCTTTAAAAGAACAAAGTTGAAAACAGATGAAAAGTGCATGTAGATTTCAAAGTAATCTACACTTCTTTCCTAAAATCTTTATATGCAGTATTTATAAGCCTCAACTATTTCCCATCCATTATTCCCATTGACAGCAGTAGTTAGGAAATAGCTGGTGCTGCACTTATTTCTCTGTGGTCTGTTACAAAGCAGAAACTGAAATGATTGCTAACATTTTCAATTTCTTTTTAATCTTTTTGCTATACAACAACTTAATCTCATTAAATCTTGCATAGTGCAATTGAACAAGAACATTAAAGAAAATAGTGGCAAGTATACAGGATTGTTCAGAGCTGTCCTAAGTGACTGCTCAGTGTGTCCAGGCAACAGCACCCTAGGCAGTACCAACAAGAGGACAGCCAATAGATCAAAGGAAGCAATTATTCCCCTTTACTCAGCACTCATTAGAGAACTTCTGGAATATTGTGTCCAGCTTTGGGCTTCCCAAAACAAGAGATAGTCAGTGGGCTGCAGCACACAGCCTGTGCACCAGCACGTGAGAAGAGTCCATGAGCTGGACTTGTTTAGCCTGGTGAAAAGAAGGCTTAGGGGGGCCTTAATAGCAGCCTTCATTAAAGGAGGTTGCCAGGAAGATGCAACCAGGTTCTTCACTGAGGTGCACGGCAGGAGAACAAGAAATAAGTATCATAAATTGGGGAAGGTTCCAACTGATTAGCAGAAAAATGTTTTTCACTATGAGTATTATTAACCACTTGGACAGGTGCTCAGAGAGGGTGTGGAACCTTCATCCCTGGGGTTTTTCCAAGACTCTGGACAAAAGTTGCTTAGGACTGGACAAAGCCCTAAGCAACCTGGTCCAAACTCAGAGTTGACCCTTTTTTGAGCAAAAGGTTGACCCAGATGACCTCCTAAGGGCCCTTCCAACCTGGATGATTCTACGTTTTATGAACTATCCCACTTATTAATCACACTGTTAACACTGAACAGGAAGCTTCCTGTTAATCCGCAAAGATGTAAGTTTACATTGTTCCACTGAAGTTATTATTGCAACATGTTTTGAGTGTGATACTGCTACCGTGCAAGTGCGCATTTGCAAAAAACATTTGTGATCTTCAGAATGAATACTTGCTAACATAACTAGAATGCTAACATTTCTCAAAGGAAAGGCTGTATCAGTTCTGAATTACACAGGCTGATCGCTCATAATTCAAGATTTAGTTCTGAGAAACTGGAAACGCCAACGTGGCAAACAATCACAAACATGATCTTTCCAATGTCAGCCAACAAGGCCAACACTGGTTCTATGAAGCTATGTACAAAACAGAATACACTCCCCGCTATTCAAAACTTGTCCCAAACACCTACTGACCTTCATTTTACTGAGTTGTAAGCCTGTATACCATGAGTACTTATGAGTACTTTAAAAATAATTTTAAAAAGGGGCACAGGTGTGCAACCTTCTAAGAAGAAAGGGGAGAATGTAGGGAACCAAATTTCTCCTACAGCAAGCTGGTTTTGCACTCAGATTGGAGACCAGTGCACGGTACTTAAACGACACTCGTAACAGAACATAAGAACAGAATGTGGCGAGGAGCTGGGTTTCATTAATATTAACTATATCCCTGTTATGCATATAAAATGTTCTAGGCAATTTCTAAGTGCAGAAGGAAATAGCAAACCTAATCATGTGCAGTCCAGCTATGGATGCAACTCTGCTCTAATTAGAGGCACGACACAGCCACACGCCCGGCTAGGCAAGCATGATGCAAGACAATGTCTTACCCCCAGCCATTGCTGGTATAGCAGTTTCTTGCCCACGCTCATCCACAAGTAAACTGATGCAAATGCAATCTAAAAAGGAAAGATGCATTCATATTCCTGTGAAACCTAGGTTTAAACTTGTAGAATTATCTGCTAGTCCCCTGACATTCTTCTTTCCCCTTTGTGTTGTTATTTTGATCCCTCTCAATCTAGAAGAGAAATCTGGAGAATAAACGTGAAGTTTTATTGAATGAAACACATACCATGCCATCAATAAAAAGGCATACTTGGCTGATACAAATATATATGTATATATTTATAAAAATTCAGTAATGTAAGGTATGAATTTTCTAGCTAGCTTGATGTGACATCCTTTTGGTTTTGTCTTTAGATAACCTAAGTAATTACAGGATTTATTTTCCCATCAGTGCTACACGAGCACTTCAATGAAAAATCTCTTTTTCCCATAAGTTTATTTTACATTTATATTATGCTGCAAAACTGTCACAAAGATTTATTGGCCAAGGCAGAAGCTGTTCCTACTCACTACTGATGAAATATCTTTCATTTCCTGAATGCCAATTTGGCAAACAGAATTTTAAGACTGATTTAGGAAAGAGCTCAGAAAAGCTCTTAGAACAAGTGCTAGAAGGAATGCTGTGAACTCTAGACATTGAAAAGGACGTGGGGTGAATCAAACACTAAAAAGGCAGCAGCAATTTGGTTTCAAAAATCTGCTAAACCACACCAAAAAGAAAGAAAGGGACTTTCTTATAGTCCTTTTCTTTTTCTTTTTTGAATAGCTGCCTGTAGCAACTGGCTTTAAAACACAAGAATCAACAGATCACCCATTCCAAGGTTATAACAGAGCCAAAAAACAAGCTGAAATTCGAAACAGATCCATTAGGCGCATCAGGCTTGTTCTGAGGGCTCTAACCTCCTAGTGCTTTAAAAGCTGAGGGAAGTACTCCATTGACCCCTGTCTGTCTTTCACATGAAAGTGAAAGACAAGTCTGAAAGTAATAAACTAAAAATTATAGCTTTTTTTAATCTTATATATAATATAAAAATATATTTATGTATATGTAAAATACAATATACAATACATATCATATATAATAATATGTGTAATATGTAACATAATATATATAATTAAATATTATAGCAGCAGTGGCAACATAATGCTTTACTTTTTTAAAGCTTTACTTTTCTCCTCTTCCTCCCACTCTACAGCATATTTTGCTTCTGTGTTAAAACAAGATTATCTGCGCTAAAGCAGACTCCTAACCAATCTTTCACTACAAAAAAAAGTTTTTAATTATGACTCATCATTTCAAGGAAGATTGTCTCTAGAGCCTACCACACAGATCAAGTAGGTATTTACAAACTTCTTTTTTCCCCCAGGTTGGATCTTTCTCTTCCAGCAGTTTGTTTCTCTCTGACAAGAACAAGCGCTGTCTCAACAGAAATCTGACTAACCTGACCTATTTGAGCACAACTCTGCCCTGGAGATCTAGTATACAGTGGTCCTGCATGTCTACTACATGATGAAGGAAAGAAAGTGCTGTAATAACTTATCTTAATAATATTTATTTATATTTTTCTAATTTCACATATATTAAAATCATTCTTTACTAAACTTGATTTAATGTGTAAAGATAACAAACCCGTGGATCTTTTTTTGTCCCAAAGACTAATCTAGCAGAGAAGTAAAAAGGACGCTATCCTTCTAGCAAATGATCACTGCTACTCATTACCAGTATTGTCACAACAGCTTTCTCTGTACTGACAGTACCATCAGCATCACATTCCTCACATTTCTAAAGAACAGACCACCACCCATTCAATAGCTTCAAGTTGTCCTTTGCTACAAAGCAGCAACATTTTAAAATACTTCAAGTTTTTTTTCTTTAAAAAGTGAGTTTCATTATCACTTATCTAGAAATGAACCAATATATTTAAGACAAGGGGCTTCCAGTCTGACATGTTTAGTTATGATCATTAACAGTTCTAATCAATTTTACTCTTGCGGCACTGCTTTAAAAGTTTAATGGGGTGATCGTTACCCATGCATCTGAGCTAACTGTATGACAAGATAATCAATGCTCAAGCCTATTTTAAGTACTTTCAAGCCTATTTTAAGTACTTACACACACCTATTGAGAACGTCTTCAAAACAAACGGTATTTCTATCCAACTCCCTCGGGCTTAATTCTGACAAGGAAAACCAAGTATGATGTTTCATATTGCCATCTGGGCCAAAAACCAACTTAAAACACCAGCCAAATTCAGTTATTAATGAATGGAACATATCCCAAAGTCAAAGCCCAATAATTACAGTATATTTTTTATGCCTGTAGGCAAACATAAGGAGGTAACGAGGTGTGGAGAAGACAAAAAGCGTAGGAACAAACTCCCAGTAACTTCAGAAGGGAGACCTGATTGCCCACAGAATGGAGGATTAAGTTCTCTTTAGCTGTATCTCAGCCAGGACTTATAATATACGTAGA